CTTTCTAAAGTGGGTGTACTTCTTGCACTTGAAGCAAAACTCGTTCCCTTATTCAAGACCCCTGCTTTGCCATCAAGACCAGATATAAACAGTTTTTCTTAAGGAAACTGCGTTGAAATGTCTGCTTATAAATTTATGCAACGCCCTTATTTGCAAACGAAACGCTATAGACTACAGCTGACATCAGCAATTCATGAAGAAGCTCTCCCTTCTTCGATAAAGAAGTAGATTTGGTGCGTGATTTTATATATTACCCTGTAGGTTCATATGAAAACAAACTGCTCACAGTAGCATTCATATAAATCAACATGTCACTGGTTTTGGGAGTAAGATTGATGTTCTTTTGATGGCATCTATTCATTAAGCTTGTGATAAAATGTCAGATATCTTGTCGGCAGTTTTCAACTCTGTGATCGGTTATACCGTACGGTGAAAGATTTATAATGAGACAAATGAGTTGAGACTACTTGAGACGATATGCATTTAATTTTGTTGTGATTCCCAGACGATCCCGAAATAGGTATACACCGGTTAAGTTCTCCATATGACTCACGCTTTATGTGTTAAGATAGGAATTGCTACACATAGCAAATTAGTCTTATTCTATAGATAAATGTTTAACATAATAATATAAGATAAATCGAATTGGAAGAAAAGTGCCCTTGGCGTATTCCTGTTACTTATATCTCTAACAAGTTTTTATTACTACTCCATTCTTTTTAAATACATAAATTCTACCTACCTGTTTCAAGATGCAAACAAGCTAAATATTAATGCTCGGCTAGATGGAGAGCGCCCAGGAGGAAAATGCAATGTATGCCACAAGCCGTAAAGATAAAAAAATAAAACAAAGTCTTGTGAAATCTCGTGCACCTATTGTAATAAAAAAAAAATGAATAGCGTACTAACAGCAAAGAGTATAATAAGTATAGCGGAGTTACAGACTTTACCACGTTACTTACGAAATGCACACAGACTGGACGTAATTGGATACGGCTTATAAAAGCAAGTATGCTTCAATTTCAATGAAAAAGGTTGCAGTACACCTTGCCCATGAAAATTTAATGCTTTTAAAGAAGCCCTGTCAGATTATAGCTCATTAATCCCACACGTCCTACGTACCCTGTGGTTTTATTATTCAAGCCGTAGAAAGTCATGATTTACCTTATAAATAACATGTAACAACATTGGACAATGCAAAGTAACCCTTAACTTTAATCTCAGCAATTCAAGTATTTCCTGTTCAATAATAATGACTAAATTACTCCTTGCACGGACCCATGAATATTGAACAAGTAATAAATCAATGAACATGGCTACGGAACCGTTTTATGACGAAAACAAAGGAAGGGTTCTTTACAACACATTCACTTTTATATTCAAAAGTTACGGATGAAAGAAGTTCGTTTGCGGAGAATCGCCTCGTTTTGCAAGTTTTAGCCGATAAATTGTTACGGGCGGTTGCGTGCGAATTACTTCCTCCGAGTTCATCGACATTTTATCTAATTTGAACTTAATCTTAGTGTTTTACAGTAAAAAGCAGTGTATTCATTGAACTCTTTACTAAACGCTATCTATACTAAAAAACACCTGGGGTTTTCTCTTAAGTATGTATAGCTGGCTCTACTTACACATTCTTCATCATATTCCATTTTCCAAAACCAGTTTTGCACAACAGGTTGCTTCTATACACTGATAAAGCGCCCTTGCAAGACCTTCTCAAAGTCGTGACCTCATAGGACCTTGCCTTCAGCGTTGTATACGCACTGTAATAGCATTACGTACCTGCTTACATGTGCATTGACTATAGTAACAAGTGAAGCAACGCTTTGCTTTGTTGTCTGATCATTTGTTAATTCCATCGAGTACCTTATCTGCAAAAATTACAATCCTCCGGACGGAAATTTTTATCTTTGTTACTTGTGTTCGAATAAATATCTACTAATCAATCAGAATAACAACCAACAACAATTTAGTCCCAATCAATTGGAACGAATTTAATAACCTACACTGATAATAATTCAATTGATAAATTTGCGCCTTCAGACCATCATGCCATTAAAATATCGTGTCACTAGAGTTCACAAGAACAACGCGGCAGTCTAAATCCGAAATATAATACCTATTTGTTTTCTTCATATAGCAATCTATCTGTTTTATTGGCTGTGTTAACTGTCTATTCTGAACATTGGAAACCCCTAATTTGTAATAATAACTTTAGAAGACTCATAAAATCGTATTTAGATAAAGTTGAAATTCCGATGTGTCATTGAAATTCACGGCCATAATTCGAAAAAAGAACTAAAATATTAAAGTATAAAATTACATTTCTTTTTCTGGCAATCGTAAATATGTGAGCACCGGTACCCCCGCCACCCACGTAGCCCCTGCGCGCGCGCCGTCCCGCAGGGAGCCAAGGCCGGCTCACAATGGGCCCACTTTTGCAGTACTTATTGCGATCCAATACTATTCAATCTCACTATCTATTTTATATGGAACTAGTTTCCTGAGGGCATTTCCCCCATAGTCTGCTACTCACAAAGGTATTGAGTTTGCAACAAGATCTTGACTTTCACTTGATAAGTAGGTATTATTTAATGAAACATGTCAGGGAAATATTCAGGTAAAACGAACACACATTTAATGGGATTATGTAATATATCATTGTAAGCCGAGGCGATATCAGCCTGATAAATAATTGTTTATCACAGATGTGATATATTATGTGTCCCTAATGCACAGTCCTTCGGAGTGCAGACTTTACTTTGTATACTGCATATATTACCAAGACTACAATGACCAATGTCAAGTCATATGCAAACGCGGTCGTATGTCCACGGATCCGCCACAGTTGAAAATTTATTCTCTCCGCTCTGGCGTGCTACGGAATGTGCGACATTGCTGTCTTTGACCGTAGGTACATGTAAATACCTCGGACAGCCTATTTAACCACATACTTTAAAGACTGCATCCCAAATTTTTAGTATAAAAAAGCTGGTTTTTAATTGATCTTTCCTAAAGACTTTCAGCTGACCTGCGAAAGAATTTTCTTCCAACGCTGCTGTGGATAGTGGTAGAATGACTAGTTATTCCGCTTCCCTCTATTATACATGCTCATAATTTTTATTACGTAATACCATTATATTATGGTTCAAATTGCCGTTAACTTTAGAGTCAAAGTTCTCATTTACAAGATCCTTGAAATGCACTTGTAAGTTTTACTATTATTGCATTAGTACCTAACCATGTTTAAAACATTTGTAAAATTATAGTAATCGTATTGGCAAGAAAGAAAAATTACTTAGCTATTAGTTCAGTTTCAGTTCTATTGATTCCAGATTCAGAATCCATTTCAGATTTTGTTTACTATTTTATCACAACTGGCACGTCTTGAGAACGAGTCTGTTATAAGTTTATAACGTAAATAAATCTGGTAGGCAGTGGCAATTACTTTAGATGCATTCCCCTGCATTGCATTAATTTACTTTATTCATTTCTATTGTATTCCAGAATATAGCATTGTACTCAAACAATTCATTGTTTTGTCGATAAATAATATCATCCATTTTCTCCTATCGATAATTAGAAACTAAAATGAGTATGGCCATGTCACGATCTTCGAACACGATTCTATGCAAGGGCAATAACTCACTTGTCTCTCTGTATCCGCCGTACATCGCTTCCTCCTTCTGTAATAAACTATTCTGCAATCTAGACTAGATCACAGTTAATCAGCATCCGTCATTAGCAAAACAAAATATGTTCGCGATGTAACAAAACTACGGCCGTTTGTCGTCGTGATTAATTTTGACTGAAATGTATTTGCTGTTACTGACAATGATTTATTCAATTGAATAGAAACGGTTAGATCCTGAAAGGTCATAGAACACGGTGATAATGTTCTGTTAGAGGTACAAATGCGACTTAGGTGTGAAGCAATCAAGAAAAGGTGAAATGAGGCATCGTGAGGACCGGTAACATTAATCCCGATAACCTGGGGGGCGGGCTCTTGACTAATGGCGGATTATTTGTCTGTTTCATGTTGTAATGGGACTCGAAGCGGCCTTTATTTGTTTGTTAGCTAACTATCTTTTAATGACATGCTATCTGATAGTCCTGACTATTTTACATTGATCATAAAATATCTCTTTGTCACATCTTAAGAAAAATCATTCATGTTTTTGTTTCTAATTGATGCAATAAAAAATAATTGCAGTGTTAAAGCGTTAAGGTTGTTTATGAACTGTTAGATTAAGTACCTACGAAATTAATCATAAATGTATTACCTCTACATAAATGCATAAGAAGATAGCCTAGAGATTTTATTAAAGCAAGCCTTACGAGTCTGAATACTTATAAATTACAATCTTTTGATTGAGTACTACTGTATGATGACACCCAAATATTTACAGCTTTTACACTAACCAATGCAAATTAAAGGTAAACGTGATGTGCATTGTAATAAGTATACAAACAGATATTGTATAAATCGTGAATAGTTCGCCAGTTGTATTGATCATTAGTGACTGAAACGCTTCCTTATTTTAACAGCCATCACAACTCGCGAAAACTTGACTCCAAGAATGTTAATTAACACCATAGCTACGCAGCCATGATAAGTCGTAAGAGACGATTAAGTAGGGCTAGGAGACGACTAACGATACTCGAGTAGGAAACTAGATAGAAAACTAGATTTGAATAGAAATGGGTATTCATGCAATCTATCACTCAAATTGAGATTCACACAGCATTCTTGAGCTTCATTCCAGAAAATGGGCTTAGTTAGATAAATAGGTCTAAGATACTTATTAACCTTGATAAATAACTTTTAAGGATTTTTGACCATCATTATTTAACTTTTCCAAAGCCAACGAGAAGTATGAAGTCTACTATTTTGGCGGTATTATTTTATTGTGAGAGTAATTTGTTTTGTTTGTTGTATTCGCAATCTATCATCAAGTCATCTTCCAGTAATAATATTCAATGTTCTTTTGTTACAGCGGAGGGCAGCCTGTCCGACTTTGCGGCTCGCAAAGTCCAATACACGGCAAGTCATCCCCTCAAAAAGGGCCTGTTCACGCCCGATACAAGGTAAAACGCTAACTTTCTAATCAAATTACCACTAATCGACGCTAATGTATCCCAATGAATGAAACATTTTGTACCTACTGCTTTTTTGTAAAAGGTACCGATTGGTGCCTTGTAAAGTACACGATTCCTTTCGTAACAATTGATTAGCTACCCTTTATTACCAATTAGTATTAAACGTTGCGTTTTGCAATGGCTTATAAAGTTTTACAATGCGTGTCATTACCGCAACACGCAGTCACGTCTTTAGACCCAATGGGTTGGGGAATTGATTTACTAACTGGAACACTTAGAATTCCCCGTTGACTATAAGATCCTTGCAATAAATATGAATCATTCTAGATTACAAGATTTGGTTCACCTATTCGACTAAGTTCTCGTACTTAGATTTAGATATCTACATATAATACGTCCCCTTCACAGACCGTCAAGTATACGCAAGCTATATGAAAAGGCGACGACAGACCGTCTATCTGCATCGATCCTCGACCAACTGCGAAGGGATTCTCAACACTCTCCATACCTATTGTGCACTCCAGTTCTTAGCACTAAACGAAGACGAATCTACCAGAAGGTCGATGTGGAAATCGAAACTCGCATTGTAAGTAACCGAGTTTATTAAACATTAACCTACCAGCTTGATTGTATTGGTAACCAGTTTACTTAAGTCGCCACTTACAGCCACATGAACAAGCCAGATTTCCTACTTTGAAGTTTGAAAAAGAAATGTACGTCAAAACATGATATATTTATTTGTTCAACCATCTGAAATAAAGCTGTAGAATGAGTGCTTCAATAAATTGCAAAAGCATTAATCCAATACCCTGAGAAATGTAAATGGTTCCAATACTAGCTTTATTAAAGCGTTGAAACGCAACTAATTTCCAGCCGTCAGTCGTTGAGCATCTTCGGAAATGGACGTCGAAAGAGGCAGTGGGTGACGTGACAGCCCTGCCGGACGCGTCCATGAGGATCGCAAGCAGCGTCACATTGACGCCGGACGAGCTCTCTGAATGCGGATCCGGAGACGACGAACCTATCGATCATCGGCTGCCCAGCCCCGACGAACAACTTAGGATTATTGCTTCCAAGTAAAAAACTCTTTTGACAACCCTGATTTTATGTTTGATTTAAATGCAACGGCTGTCATTGGTATCAATCCATTGCTACGATTGATGCCCAATTTATACAGCGGCTTTATTGGCAGACTCAGTCTGAAAAGATATGAGCTGACTACATTCGAATGTTTGCATGTTTAGCCATAGAAGTCCTTACAGCTTATAATAAAAAGATTAATTATTTTTCCTTCCACATAACAAGACCCCAACAGACTATAATGCACCTTTAAAGCCAATTTTGCGGTTCACCTTCCAAATAAGAGCGTCGTTAATCCATTTTTATTGTTCATCGCTATTTAATGCAGCTGCTTCATAAAACGGTGTTATAAAAGCTTTATAATTTTTTTATGCAAAGTAATAATGTTGCGAGATGACAGTTTTATCATGCAGTACTTATTATCAATAAAATTAGCATCAAAACACTTAATAAGAGCAAAGGAATGAGCAATAAATAAGGTCGCTAATTAATTATGTTGCATTATTGCCACAGATAAGATTACATGTATGCATAACAATGAAAAATGTCTGTGTAATTTGTATATTGACCCCACATGATTTAGTGAGATATTGTCAGTGTACCTACAAAAAGATAGATGTATTTTCTACTTCATATTTTTTAACAGTATCGAAATTCACCGTAGCGCATGTATCATCTATGTAACCTTGCAAAGCCTAAGTCACCAAGAGTCATTTACCGATCGATAACAGTCCTAAATAGTGTTTTATATTAGAATGTTTATGCATACTCTTCTACAATATACAATTTTATACATTGCAGATTCCCCCCAGAGGTCGTTGCCATCGATACGTCTGGAAAATTCTTCGACAGAATGTGCAGCTCCCGAAAATCTCTACACCTAGAGAGTACTACCGGTGAGACGGACACGGTGAAACGAAGGACCCGGACGAGAAAACCTCGGGGTAAAAGACGAAACACCATTTCGGGCACTGACCAAAAAGAGCTTAGAGAGGCTATAGCTGGGTAAGCTTCTAGTATGCACTGTATACACTCACACAGATTACATTATCTATCACTTGTCAACACTATAATACTTGTATGTTTTTTGTTCATCGTTTTTAATATTATTTTTTGTAGATAATGTAATCTCAAAGCGTCTCAATTAACGACAGTAACCGTTCAGCACAGTTCGTGTGGACAGCTTTGAAGATATACAATTCAAATCTTGAGCACACATTTTTAACAACTCGTTGATAATACTATCGTGCTTCTGTGAATACATTATGTTTAACATTGGGTGTCATTGTTCAATTCAACGCTCTTATAACTCGGAAACAAAGACATCCAATCATTTGTGCACTTGATCACTAATAGTGCCATTTGTTCATTAGCTTCATGATTAATTTATCTCTAAAGCGTTCCGCTGTAACGAGACTAAGCGGCACGCTTTAAGGATTCTTCAACCATAGATATGCATTTAGCGTGTGACTAATGCTTTGCTTGGTTTGTTCTATCGTAGCGATACATCAAACGCGGCAGCTTCTGAAGAAATCGAAGATAGCAATACAGTCATCAGGTCGAAGTCTAGTGATTTACTTAAGAAAAGTCCTATCGATCCGGTGACCAAGAAGGGACACTTCAACTCTCTAAAACAATGGGGCAAAAACAGACTAAAGTTAATTGGTAGATCTCCTAGTGCCAGTAGGGATAACTTTAAGGATACCTCTAAGTCCGAAAAGGCTAAGGATTCAAAATCACCGCCTAGGCAAGTAGAATTGGTGCAGGATTCTGTGACGATGCGTAAAAAACGCCCAGGAGACGAGGACAGAAGGACACATCAAAGATGTGCATCGTATTCCTCTTCTGAGAAGAGTATAGGTATGCCTAGTATTGTTCAACCAAATGTCGCGACCATTAATACCGGCGTTAAACTACGAGGAACATCAGTACAAAGGAGACTAAGAAGGTCAGGCACTGCCAAAGATGAACCTCATTCGTCAAGTGGCAATTGGTCGGCAAGTTCTGAGTCGGGTCGGACGAGTATAGGTTCTGAGATAACTACTACAACGGTACCACCTAAAAGTACAACTTCAGCCGCGACATCAAACAATTCGTTGAACGCTCACCATGGCCCACCAAGTTCTATAATCAGTCGGAGACGATTCCTCAATACTTCTGGCTCAGGTAGTGTGACAAGTGAGGGTACGCTAACGCCAGACATAATTCATGACTTGCACGAAGATTTGGAAACAAGTTCGGAATTCTCGTGTGACACCGAAGGCTACTACACATCATTCCATATGGACTCGGGCTTGAAGACTTTAAAAGAGGAGGAAATTACTCCTAGTACACCTCTGCATACAAGCAACGCTCTTTCCAATTCCTCTAATAGTCAAAATATGACTGCAGAGAATGAATACGAATTGTTCGGAAAAGGTTCCACAAGCACGACTACAAGCTCTGCTGGAACAGTTTGTACAACGTTAATGGCTGCCGGCAGCGATAGATCACTTGTAATAGGCCCAACAGTGCCGGAACGAAAGAGTTCGTTAGCGAAAATGAGCAGAAATAGAAGTGCTAACGCACACAGTGCAAACACTAGTTTAGACAGAAGCATAAATTCTTCATTTTCGAAGTCTCCTTTCAGCAGCCTAAGGTATAACCCTGTAAGATATAATGACAAACCAGCATACAATAATTCTTCACCAGAAATAAATGAAGCCACCCCTCCAACTATCACTATTACAAGAAATGTCGGTAATCATACAGAGATAACGGCTGTGGCCGAAGTCCATACAGAGACTGAACTTGAAAGTGCCAAGAAAAGTACTGGTACAAGTTCTCCTGACTCAGGGCATAACACTTCTAGTTCACCTATTGAAGACTCCGTGTCAAGTGCGCACGGAAAGAACAGCCTATCAGAACAAGACTATTCAGAATCATCCGATCTCGAAGGTACAGAAAGAATAGAAAGGATAAGATACAAGACTACAATAAACAGTTCTAGAATTCCTTCAATGTGTGTAATAACACCGTCCAACTCTGATGACGAAAGTGAAAGTAGCAATAAAGATTCTGACATTGTTATCAAAGCTCAGACGGAGTTATCAAAAGTAGCCAGTCGGCCAAAATTAGACCTGCCGATTGAAGAAAAACTGAAAGAAGTAAAAACGCCTACAGAATTAACAAAGCCAAGTAATAAAGGAATTCAAATTAAATCTTCATTGCAGCCTTTTAATAGTTTAATGTGCAAATTAAAAGGTGTTCTCCCTCACAAATTATCCAATAAAAAGTCGCCGGTATCAAAAGAGCCAGAATTAACTGAGGACTTTTACGACACTGGGGATTACGTTACTATAGCTGATGTAAAAAATAATAATCAGAAATTAAGTCTAAATAGAGGCATTTACGGTAACAGTGACGTAGTCAAGAAAAATTTGCAAACAGTGCTCTCAGGAAAACTGCCAGAAACAGAATATGTATCACTTAATGAATTGCCAAATTGCCTTAGTGGAAGTAAAGACTATTTAGAACATAGCCTAGAAGATAAGCCTTCAGCAGCACTAGATGATGTTCAAATAAAAGGTGCAAAAGTTACTCTTGACTCGCAAGGACAAGTCATCTACTCGTCTGATACGCTAAAGAGAAGAAAAGGAGCACACACCACTTTCGAGCCGGGACCATTCGTACAAGAAATTAAGCCTACGACGACGGTCATCCAACGTGAAATTGCTGATGTTGTGCAAGTTGTTGATGAGACTGATTTTCCTTACGAACCACCGCCTCCATCAAGTAAGCCTACGTCACCTCAACTAGGGAAAATGATTATCAAAGCTCCAACTGCTCCTGACGGACCAATGACCACCGAATTTATCACTTTACCGACTCCCAAACCCAGTACAATTATTACTGCTACACCAATCACCGAAACACCGGTACTTAGCAACCAACAACACTCAAAAATAACTAAAAAACCACAAGACATACCGCGAGTAGTAGAAGCAATCACTAGGACTGGGGCTTATGTAAATATACACGATGCGGAGGGTGTCAGCTTATCTCCGACGAAAGACGATTTAGCAGGTAAGAATGTTTCCTCAAAGTCTCTCTCAAGACAACTTTTCGAATCGAAATTGCAAAATATAGATACCGCTGACCTAGCTCCCCAAGTAAACGAACAAATAATTCCATTTGTACCTAACTTCCAAACTCCCATTATGTTGCAAAATAAGTTTGATAAACAAGAATTAAACAAATCAGGCAGCAAAGTAGCCGAAGTTTTAAGAATGTTTACTAATAGGAACAATACTAATAGTAATGGAGAGTTCAGTCCCAATAATACTAACGACGAACTTCCCGATAAGTCAAATCTTAACAAAGTAAAACGTAGCGATAGTTATAAGTTAGCAAATTCCCCGTTGATGCCCATCAAAAAGCTACTGAAACTTGAAAGTTTTGGCACAAACACAAAAAAAGTGGACTCCTTAGAAATGATTCAAGCCGAAATAGCGGCAGATTTATTACGCGATCAAATTAACTACCCGCCAACTGTGTCTCCTAAACTAAGTCATAGAACTGCTATTGACGAATTGGAAAAGTGTGAATGTATGAATAGCAACACTTCTTTCGTTGACGATGATTTCGATTCCAAATTGACTGCTTTAACGTTAAGTCCTTTCGCCACTCCTTTGGCTAAACGGCACACGGTGGCTATCATCCCTGACACTAGAGACACGTCTCTAGATATTTTATCTGCGATACTAGACGCAGATCCTGACGATGTCTGTATTCTTCACTCTCCGCCATCTTGCCCTCTCACTCCTAGTAAAGTGACTGTACCCGTTGATAGTTCTATGCACCGAGCTAGAATTTTATCTATTTCTGAATCCGACTATGGCACCGAAATCTGGTAAAATCTTTTAAAAATGTTTTCAAAATCAATTCTCTAATCTTATCTCATTCAAAACAGGTCCCTTGTTTATGCCGCGTTACCGACTGATATTAGTATAACAATATTACGCTTAAATACTTACTCCAAGTGTTTAGAGAAAGAGTTAGTTTTTACTTTAATTAATAATGTTTTATAGGTAGTATTAGAAATTAGTTGTAATTGCTAAAATCAACTAGGAACTAATCCGTCCAACGTACAATTAGTACTTACTTATTATTAAATCGGTCTTCCCTGAGTACTTATGAAATTGTGAATTCTGTGATAGTTTTTATTAAATGTAGGTGAATGTGTATTTTTATACTATATTTTATGAATTCTAAATTCTGTATCTACTTTGATGTATCAGTATTTTATTTTACATTAATATAATGTTTTAATTAAGTGTTAAATAATGCATGGTGGCTTCTTTCACCGCAGTGTGCACAGCTTACGAGAGTTTCATTTTCTTCGTATGTAAGTGCATGGTGTGTTATTCTGTGTTCTTGTGTTTTGTGTAAATAATATTATTATAGATATATTGTGAATTAACGCACTTATTTCATTTTATGTCACACCTTCAGCTATCACCCTCACTTTACTCATTAGGTATAGCACTGGGCTATGAAACCTTAACAAGTTCTGTTTATATGACCACAGCGTTGCAAATAAAGATTTTGTCGTATTAAATATATAAAGATACTTTGCAAATAAGGTACAATAAAGAGAACTTGCTCTATGAAATACATATACAAAATTATTGTTGTAAATAATCTACTGAATCTTTTTTCACATTACACCTATGGGCGATAACAACTTGAACAATACTAAATCTGAGGTTCAGAATAACATGACTAATTTGTGGGTTACATGCGACCACGAAGATAATCGTATTGTTAAAATGTTTAACAATGTTCGGAGATTAAAACATAGGTGTTCAGTTACCTTGCACTCATCTTACATCGCTTTGCACAGTGAAGGAGATTGCTTCCAATGTTTCGTCTTTAACGACACCTTAAAAGGTAATGTTTTGTGTTGCTTATTTGGCATGATGCATGGGAACTAAATTACTAACACAACTAAAACAATAAAACAAAGCACTTAGAGGCCCACACTAAAACTTCTTAATAAAAATAATACACTAAAATTTAATTAGTATTAAATTATTTTGTATTAGAAATAAATGATATTTTAACTAAGTTTAAGAATAAAATACCATGCACTTTATATACCAAGAAGCTTTTATATAATTTCACTGCGGAATTATATGGTTATGTATCGAATTTATATTAAATGTGAGCGTCATACATATTGTGCAACTTACGAGCTGCGTGTTTGTGTACATATGTACCACCTTTTTGTTCAATGTATATGTATGTATAATTGTCGTATTAGCCTTAGTTTTGCTTTTGGTAATGGACGTTTATTTGACCGTTAGTATAGAAATTTGTATAAGTTTTTGTAATTAGGTACCTACTTATGATATTTTGTATCTTATATCTCTATATCTATGCTACCTACAATATTTTTATTTATGTATATAAATGAGCATGTATGATGTAGGTATAGTGTAAATATTTTTAAATTAAAATTGAGGTGTAGGTTACTGTTGGCACGTTTTTATATACTTAGAAGTATATTTTTAAACTAGCGGGAAGCTTAAATTCTATAATCGAGTAGATTTGACATATACATTTGATGATATTTATTAGACCAGAAGTTAACAATTCTGCTGAGAAACACAACAGTTTCTGATATTGAAACTCAAACAGTGTTATTGATGTCATGTAGTAACATGCTTTACGACCCAAAATGACAATGGTTGGTCAACTAAATGTTAAGACTATTCGGAGGATAGGCAATTCTCCGCAAAGTAGCTAATAAACGATTTCGAAAAATAAGAATTAGCTTATATTAGGTTTAAGTGGTTAGTAGGTAACATTGGTTTCAAAAAGCTGTCCTGTATAAATATTTATTATATCGAAAGTATATCAATTTGTTTATTTTTGTTATTTAAAAGTAGGTAAAAGGGATTATGTAGATATATCTATAAAATTATATCATTTATATGCCAGATTGTATGAAAGTGGGTACGCAGGTGGACAAGAAAATGTAGATGTAATAATTACTGAAAGGGTTCCTCGACTACTATACCAACCGGTACATCAACTATTGTTTTAAAAATATGTTTTAAATTTTCAGACTATCGACATTCCAGTGCTGACAAGCCCTACTTGAACATACCGCCGAATGTTATCCAAGACAAGGGACCAACAGTGGATTTGAATGCGATTAATCCTACTTTACATCGATATCATACTGCTCATCTCCGTGGCAGGCACGGCATTATCGACTATGATAACTCAAATGCAGCTCAAAGAGACCAACCGAAATTCTGGACGCTTCCTAAACGAAGCAACTTAGAATCCAATGCGCCTCAAAGATCTGCATCTAATTACGGAATGAAAATAGCACCAGTAAACTTACCAGCACCAGAAATGCTTACCAGAGCACAGGGTTCTACTAACACCAATGATGAATCTATCAAAATATCTCCAATTGATCCTAGAACATCAGGACACTTCAAGTCATCGACTCCATCGAATAAAGAAAATGTTGTTGATCTTGGTACGAAGTTATTATCCCCTGTCAAGTCTACAATGACTAACGAAGAACTTTATGCTGTTATACACAAAAGTAAGAAGAAACTTAATATTAAAGACACCACTGAACGATCGGAATCGCCCGCATTGTCTACTATTAGTTTGTCACCAGTTAGTTCGGAGACATCACTTTATACAAAGGGTACACAGCGTCATCCAGAAACGGGATATTTAGGTGATCCAAGAAATCGAATGAGCTGGTCTCCTTCTGAAAAACAGAATATAATTCCTATTTCAGGTCCTATTTATGGAGCACAAAAACAAGAAACGAATTGCGCAGACAGATATGGACCTATGTCGCAAACGTCTAGACTTGATTTCAAAAAGCTTTTATTGCAACATAGTGTTAAATTAAATACATTGCCTCAAAACAAAACTAATAAGTTATCGGCAGTAGAACAATTAAAATTGTCACGTGAAAAACCACAAACATTACCCTCGCAAGTAGCCAATAGATCTCAAGTTAATATTCTGGATTTAAGTGGCTCTCCAAAAACATATACTCATAGAAAGGTCATGAAGCCAAACGCTCAGCCTAGTTCACCAGGAAGAACAGGAGCATTAATTAAAGAACACAAAAATACGCCAAAAATTTTGCTCTCTCCTAAATCACAGTGGAGATTTGCCAGTCCAAGATCTGATGTTTTGTCAACCCCTATACCCGAAGCTTACAATGAAGATGAAAATTCTAATAGCTCAGGAGAAAAACACGAAGTTTCAGTGGAAACCCCGCCTTCTAAAACAGTTCCTATTGTAACGAACCAACATTTTGGAGCGCGGCGAAACTTAATTCCTATAAATGAAACCACTCTAGAAATAGAAAGAAATTTTCCTCTATCAACTGATCAAGGCGTGTATCCTCTGAACACCGACTTTATAAGGTCTCAAGGTCTGTCAAGAACAGAAATAATGCAAGCAAAGAGAGCAGAGTTTTTCAATACGTGCCCAGAGTCATCTCCTCCTAAACTAACCTCCTTCAAGAGTCCAAACGCGGCTGGTCCGTCTGTAAACTCTAGAAGCAAAACTTCTCCAGAGCGAGGCAAAGTTTCTCCCACTACTCTGGAAACTGCATTATGATAAAGCTGATATTGATGTGTCAAAGCGGTGCTTTAGAAATTCCAATCTCAAAGTTTGTAAATAAGGCGATGAAATTAATAGAAGCTTTAATCTAGTCTTTTCTTTCGCTTAGTGCCATTTTTGCAGGCACTTATTTTCCGTAACCAGTGTTTGAATACTTCGTAATTCGAGCTCAAACTTTTTTTTTTTTTTAATGCTCTATGGGGCCAATTTTGTTCTACTCTACAACAGCTGTTTTATAAACTTAGAATGTAAGTATTTATTGAGTACATTTTGATAGGTACTATGTTAGCAATGTTTTGAACTTTTTCAAAGTTTTTAAGTTATTCGGAATACATTTTAAATAAAACGTGTTGAATTATACTGTTGTATATTTTTTGTCCCCAATACCTATTGCAGCAGAGCCAGTTGTGCAAGCAGCTACTAAACATTTTTGAATCAGATAGTCCAAGATGATGATAGGACTCGAATATCATCCTAAAAATGAGTGGTAGAATATTTTATTTATAAATAATAAAATGGTTAAATAAAGTTTGATTATCAATATCCTGAGATTTTGTTATACTATGAGTTTCAAAAATTAGTATTATCAGCACCTAATTTTATGATGACCAACTAATACTTGACAAATCTACTACTAATATATCTACGACTAATACTTGAAGAAAAGGTGTCCAAATGTAAATCCACTGCTTAAATTGGTTAGCACAAGTGGCAGTTAATCTAAACTTATATTATAAACAGGTAAAATTTGTAAGTTTGTATGTAGGGGATAATCTCTGAAACTGCTGGTCTGATTATTAAAATTCACTGATAGATCGCTACAATGTTTTTAAGTGCTATAGGCTATAAAACATCATGCTACAATCAAATGGAGCCAAGCAGTGGGTGAAACCGCATGAGAATAGCTAGTGTGTTAATAAAACAAATTGGGTGACTTAAACATATTTTTATTTTACAATAAACATTACAAATAGGTATGCCACAAGATTACCTAAACATCGGTTTCTATGACCAAGTACATAGGTAGATGCATTCTACTCACATTCTTTAACACAATACAGTTTGAGATTACTAAATACAATTTCATCAGGCAATTATACAAAACATTGAAGTATAAAGATTATTAGTTTTCAAATACACATACTACACCTGCACAACATACTGCAAGAGTGCATTCATACAGGTGATACTTTCAAAACAATTGTACTTTTTCTCTTTTTACCTTAAAATCGTGCTGGTGACACAATAGTAAGACATTAGGTGCACCTGGATTCGCTTGAGGGATTAAGACTGACGGGAGAATTAAGTACTGAATATGAACATTTTAACAATGGTGTAACATAACAAACATAACTTATTTAGCAAATGTAAATGACAAATTACAGATAAAAGTATAATTATACTAATAAATATATCGGTTCAATATACTCAAGTGTATTTTCTGATGAATAAACTGTTATTCTATAACCTCAAACTTATTGGTAAAACACTGATGTGTTGTGACACTGTGGCCTCTATTGGTTTATTCCCAGTCTTTTTCAAATATTATAAACTGACACTATTTATTCATAGGTGGTCCATTCATTAAAGGCGGTCGCATTTGACCCATAGGTCCCATAGGACCCATTGGTCCCATAATTGGCCCCATCATAGGCGGCCTCATTCCCATCATAGGTGGCATTGGCCCGTGCGGTCCCATCATCATCGGTGGCGCCATGGGACCTCCAGGACCCATCGATGGAGGTGGTAGCATCCCTGGTGGACCTCCGGGTGCTGGCACTGGTGGTCTAGGGCCACCTGGACCCATTACACTGGGATCCCATGGAGGTGGAATAGCAGCTCCTTTGTTGAATGGATTCTGCGCTATCTTACCAGCTTTGAATGCCGCTGTTGTAGCGTCAATAAGATGCTGAGCTTGTTCTTCCATCCATTTTTGATAATAAAATTTCACATTGTCCTTGTGCTTTCTGCCCGTGCAATGTGTTTTTCTGACACTAGGTGAATCGTGCGTTAAATATGTGTCACAATAATCACAATAATACTTAGGCATCTTGATAAAATTGAAAATTATATGCTAAAACAACACACACATTTACAAAACTGACTGATCAAGTGACATCGAATAATATAATGCCATGAATGATTAAAGTGAGTATATTTTACAGTTCTCGATCTTTCGTTAATTAATTCGTTCAACTAAACCATAGACAAATTTAAAGCGCAGTTTAGTCGATTTTATTTCATGTTTGGAATGTTTGGATAAGATATCCAAACGGAAAGTAAAAGTATTGCCCCATCTCTAGTTATCGGAAAATGAAAAATTGCAAATGGCGCGCTGCGTTTGTGAAAGGAGCACGTGTAATTGACGTTTCAAAAAAATTGCTCTAACGTGTTCTAAATGCTTTAAAAAATACTGAATGTACAGAAAGTAAATTCACACGATAAATATAATTAAAAACGAGACGATGCCGGATATGAAATATATTTTGGTTACCGGTGGAGTAATAAGTGGTGTTGGAAAAGGTGTAATTGCAAGTTCTTTTGGCACGATTTTGAAAAGCTGTGGTATCGATGTGACTTCAATAAAAATTGATCCGTACATTAACATTGATGCAGGAACGTTTTCTCCCTATGAGCACGGTAAGTAGAACAGCTGATTTAGGATATTAACCTTAGTTTATTGTTTTTCTTCCGCGTGTTGCATTAATTGCATGGTCTATTTTTATTCTCTAGGTGAAGTTTACGTGCTCGATGACGGTGGTGAAGTTGACCTTGATCTTGGCAACTATGAGCGCTTCTTAGATATAACACTGCATAGAGACAATAATATAACAACTGGCAAAATATACCAGCAGGTTATTGAGCGTGAACGACGAGGAGACTATCTTGGGAAAACTGTTCAGGGTAATTACACTATCTTTATTCTGGTCAGAAAAAAATAGCACTATTTCATATTGTTATCCACTCATAATTATTTTAATAATTTTAAATGATAGGTTTCAAAATTATCAATGTCGTTTATGCACAAATTTATTTTTTTTGTTTTTTTGTATTTTTAGTCATTCCACATATAACTGATGCCATTCAAGAATGGGTTCAACGAGTAGCCCATATACCAGTGACACCAGACAATGCACCACCAAGAGTTTGTATAGTGGAACTCGGTGGTACTATAGGTGATATTGAAGGAATGTCATTTGTAGAAGCATTTAGACAATTCCAGTTCAGAGTGAAGAGGGAGAACTTCTGTTGTGCACATGTATCTTTGATTCCCATGGTAAGGACTTTAATTTTATGCTTATTTTATATTGTTATAGGTATTTCACAAACAAAACTTAGTATATGCAGTAATAATACATAATAAATGGGCACCAGTAAAACATATACCAGTTCTATTATTCTTTTGTAGCTCTGTGAGAATCTAATTGGCCTCATGCTTCTACCTATTGTTCATTGATATACCCATTTGCTTTAGCTGTTGGTTCCACTTTGGTATCAATAAAATAGCATAAAATATATTATTCAAATCAAAAGCATATATAAATCTAAATCTAATCAATTATTTTGCAAAGAATATGGGAAGGAAATAAAATATTAACTCTACTCTAAGACTTTCCTATGTAAAAAATATTGTTAGATATGAAATATTTTAAATTGGAAAATGATTAAGACTGGAGTTAATTGATGGAGTGACTTGACATATGTGTTAATAAATACTTTTTTACCCCATTTTTAGCCAAAATCAACAGGAGAGCCTAAGACAAAACCAACACAGTCATCAGTAAGAGAGCTACGTGGTTTAGGCTTGTCACCAGATTTGATATTGTGCAGATCAGAAAAACCTATCAATCAAGGAGTCAAAGAAAAGATATCTAATTTCTGTCATGTTGGACCAGAACAGGTAAGTTTTTTACTCCACTAGCTTCTAATTGTCACCAACTACAGTATCAAGGTAAAAGGTAGCCTAAAATAGTTCCAGACATAATTTCTAAATCAAATTTCTTTCAGAATCGCTCAGCAAACATTCATATTACTACAAACTTTTCGCTTGATGAATAGTATTACTTCAATCTTAGTAACTAATTAAGTATTAAGAAGTGTTATTTTATTAGTTATTTATCAAAAGCTATTAAACAAACTTGCTGCCTTTTTTCCTTATAAAAGAATTTTCTTTTAATAAGATAATAGCTATTATTTGCCAATTTAAACAAGAGATAACACAATTAAATTGGAAAGAAAATATATTATTATCAAAGTAAAAACTTCAATTTCTTTAATAGCTGATTGAAATGTATTTCAGCAAAACTGTTTAAAGTTTCTAGTGGATATATTTTATTAAAGCTAATTATTTTCCGAATGACTAATAACTTAAAAGTCGACTAAATGTTTGCAACAAATAAAATAACTTGCCAGCAATTAAATATTTTCCCGACTATTATATTATGTAAGGTTCAAAATTAAGGGTGTTATAAAAACTAAAAACTAGCAGCTGCGTTTGGGTGGCAAATAAACCATACCAGTCAATTGAAATACTAGGCAAGGAGCTATATATAATGACTTGGCGACTAATAATGTTAGTAGGGTGGCAAAGATAATATATTACCAACTATTTCGTGCCGTCTAAAAACCCAGTTTCAGGCTTCGCTTTGCGGACAGCTCTAAATGTTAAAAGGAGTATAATAAAAAGGAATAAGCGTTAATTATTAATATTTTTTTATTATAATTTCGTGAAAACGGCGGAAGATGCGATGGTTGGATACGAGTGTAGTGCGGGGTGGCGGGGTGCGTGTGGGTGCATATAACGAAACATGGCACACATTTGATGAGTACAAAGAAAAAAACTTTGCGTTCTGGAAAGTTGTACTACCAAAAACAGAATGGAAGAAAGGCATGTGCAACTGCCCTCAATTTTTTCAAATATATGTGTGTAAACATTTAATGGGCCTTGCCATAAGGTTGAAACTAGCCACTCCGCCTTTAGAGGCCAAATTGATTCCAATTGGTCAAAAAAGAAAGCCGGACGCCCTCGTCCTGCCAAATCTAAACCTGCCCTAATAATACAGTAATATATTTTTTTTCATTGTGTCTACCTGCGTAACTTTTTATTCTGTAACTTTAATACTTAGGTATAACTACTGTCTTCTGTGATTTTTAAAAATAAATAAAAGTAATTACTCTTTTTGTTTGTAACTTATTCACCTATAATTTTGAAAATAAAAGCCGCAAAATATTTTTTCTTCATGCCATTTTAGAGTTTATTTAAAGCTATTAAAAAGTCGCACAAATTATGTATAATATTAGCTACTTTATATTTATTCTTCATACAAATAATTTTCGATAGAATCTGATTTGTATTATTTATGAATGCCCATTTTCTATTTTATTTTCATCATTAAGTTTTGGCTTAGATATTAATTCAGTTCCCAAAAGAAAAACTTGATGCTAGTTTCATTTAAAGCGGAGCTTATAACTGCTATATTATTATGCTACCTTTTACTTCTTACGATACTCCTTATTAGCTGCCAACCCATTATAAATGGTACCCATTCTATTATTTTTTAGAACCTATATTCATTTTACATAGTCGCTGCATTAAATACATGCCTTTTATTAATGTGCATAGTATACTTAGTATGTTATTACCGTGAATACGCGATATGTATGGATGAATGAACGATAACTGCGTAAGTCGAGTTATTTGTGAAATGATATAGTTTATTTTTGCAACAAAAAATACTTATAGCTAAAATGTTGTATTTTGGTAGTATAGTTACACTCGTGTTTTTAATACTTAGTCATTGTTTTATAAAATAAAATACATTGTTTAAATAAAATATATTTTAGAACAAGGATCTATACTTGATTATTACAAGGACCTTATAACAGATTTCCTGACTTCATAGAAGTCTGATTGTATTTGATTAAAAATAAAAATGTTTGCAATTTAGTTACTAGTGGTGAGATTAGGAACAGGTCAATGCTTTATGGCCCCATTCCGAGACACGGAAGTAGGTGTTGGGTGACGACACACCGATAGCGATAACTTCTTAGAGACTAAACAGGCAAAAACTGTGTCGATAATAATTTATTTAGTTTACTTGATAACGATGTAAGGTATTTTTTATTAACAGCAGACATGATTGGGAGCTTCTTAACCGTAACCGAAACTATCGGGTATCCGATAGAAAAAAAATCCACAACAAACGAAATATAAGTTTAGGATAATATCGGATAGGGGCGGAGCCTAATTGAGACACGATATGTAAATTCCTTTAAATCCTACTACTATTATAAAGGCGAAAGTTTGTAAGTATGGATGTATGGATGTTTGTTACTCTTTCACGTAAAAACTACTGAATGGATTTGAATGAAACTTTACCACAATATAGCTTATACATCAGAATAACACATAGGCTACAATTTTTGAGGATTCTAATGTGAGGTCATTAAAAAAAACACATTTTTTGCGCTTACGTTTCCAACGCGAAGAATATGCATGTTTATGCTGAAGGAAAAAGATCGTTAAATGTAGTTTATAGGAGCATACTGCAGTAGCTACCTATAGACCTATGATTAGGGCTCTGCAGTGCTTAGTTACCGTATTTCTTACTTATTACTAGACTAGACGGGACGAACCTGAAGTCCACGCGAACGAAGTCGCAAGCAAAAGCTAGTTGTAAAATAAATCTCATATCCATAACATCCCTAACAAAACAGCTAGCAGGCTAACCCGGTTTAACACAACAAAACGTCGTCACTAATACAAACCCGCAATGAATTCATAATATTTATTTTATTTAATATTACTTATTTATTCACCGCAAAACCGAGATGACAAAATGTATTGTTTATGGAACTTCCCGAATTTTTATTGTAGTTACTTAAAAATATTACTTACTAGAACAACACCCATTTGGTTAAAATGATATGATGTTTTCCCTGGAAAACAACGTTGTTAGATAGAGATATCATGACATGAAATATCAGGTATTTTATAGCATGACACAGGACACACCCATTAAAATGTCGCCCAGGTTGATCAAATGACAGCATAAGAAATTATGATAGTATAATGCAAATACATTGATCCTATTTCAACACAACGAAAAGGATACCTTGTTATTCGCAACTACCCATATACAAAATTCAATATTACTTAAACAAACTACACTATTGCTTTTACACGCAAAATGAAATTCTTAATTATTTCACTATATTTACATACATCGTACATTCTAGTACATTATAGTGTTGGATACCGTCGTAACAATAGAAACCATCTACACTTCTATACTAATATTACAAAGAGGTAAAATTTGTAAGTTTTTATGTAGGGGGGGGTAGTCTTTGGAACCACTGGTCAGACTCCCAAAATTCTTTTACTTATTAATTACCGAGTGCTGTAGGCTATAAAACATCACGCTACAATCAAATGTAGCCGAGCAGCTAGTGAAACCGCTCGGGAGTAGCTAGTGAAATTGTTAAATCCTAAGACTTTCTTGATTTGCGCATCTTGGCGTTGCAATGCGTTTCGATTTCCACAGCCATTTTTTTTTGTGAAAACTTTACCCTACACTTGGATTTTATGCTGAATCGTGGGTTCCTTTTACAAACAGTAAAATTACACTGGAGCCTGTGACACGTTGCTGGGAGCCAGTTAATTACCCAGCCACTGTGCCAACTGTGAAGTCATATAACACCAAATATTTGTTTTTGATGTAAAAAATTACTGAAAAGCAAGGATTTCCTTTATTTTGATATCGAACCTTTACATTGTTCAAATAGATAATTACGTATTAGTTGGGATAGTACTTGAACGCACCTACTTTATTTGTTTACATATAGGCAGAGCACTTGCGCAGTTGATTATGCGCTTTAAAAAACAGTAAACAATAATATTGTGAGTAAGAGGGTTTCATAACAATGTATGTATGTGTAACAGTTAATCTGCTAGGACATAGCTTAGCATTAACGTGCAAGTACTTAATGAGATCTTGGATACTATTTACCTTTCCTATGTTAAGAGGATTAGCAGTAATTTTCTTCTATAATATGGACATTATTCCACTACAAGTTGAAATTTTATTGATTTTGATTACAGATAGGATTCATTACTACTACTTGCATAGTAAGAAACATAGTTCTCTGATCTTTATCAACAAATACTTAATTGACTTCTATACCACTATTACAGACTGCATGTCATTCGTGGTTATTAATAAAATCATAATGTACCGCAGCTCCTGTCCAGAACAGGAAAAGGAATGAGGTGGTTTTTAGTCAAAAAGAGTAAAAAAAAAAATAGTTGATTTCCCCATGAAATAAATGTCATTCTAATTGTATTATAATAGCCAATCCAACATAGTAACAGTGAAAGCCTCATTTAAATGAAACTAGTTTTTGAACAAGATCTTAAGAAGTGGAAAGTTTCAAACATAAATACATCTATCTTAGTGTCTCCCTATAAATATTCTGGTGTATAAAATACTGTAAACAATGACCTAGGTAGTGCCAAGTGCAATCAACTTCTTGACATTATACTTTATAATGTAGTCCATGTTTGAGGACATCTGTCAGGACATTAACCTTTTCGGGTTGTTGCTCTAGGATTATTATTTTTTGAAGCTTGTGATATTTTGAGAGATGTATGGTGTAAATATAACTTGTACCTAGTGTAATAAATTTAAATAATGAAGACTGTACGACTGAAAATCAAATAGGGACTGGACTGAATAAAGGAAAGTTGACTTGAGAATTGTTTTCATGTTTTAAATTAATTACAATAGTGAATAGATTACTAACGCGAATTGTTAAGATCGAATTCGTTATTCTAATGTTTACTAATTGCGCTATTTAATTTAATAGTGTTTCAATTTATTGAGGTATAATTTTGCCAGATAATTTCCACCATTATTATGGTTTTAGTTGATATTAACAATCAAATCAGTAGACAATGTCTAAAAATGCATGTATTTTTGTAAATTCAAGTAATTTTTTATATGCAATTTAGTTTTGATTTACTTGTTGTTTAATTTATTTTTTTAAAGGATTTACCTGTAACATTTTACGTTTTACTTTTTAGGCTACAGAGTTACAAACATATGAGATACATAGTAATAAAGTGTGTCCAAATTAGTCTTTAATGTATTATTTTATTTACAGGTAATATGCATTCATGACTTGAGCTCCGTGTATCATGTACCCCTATTAATGGAAGCTCAAGGAGTAGTCCAATACTTAAACGAAAGACTTCAACTGAATATGTCCATGCCACGACCAGGAAAGTAAGTATACAAAACTATATTTAAAACTGTGACTGATTTTATATTGCAGCGTTAAAAATTTAATTAACATAGTTCTTTCAATACTTACATTATTTTTTTTATAAATACTTCAAAGATCTTAGTACCATTAATATTTTTCTATCGATAAAGATTCGGACATACTAATTAGAAGTGAAATGTACTATGCTATACTTCTATAATATTTTCTATGTGCATATAATGTATGTACGTCCGTATATGTATATACAATACGATGGGGCACCTAATTAGTCTGAGTATTTTAATTATAATAATGACAGTCTGGTACTGGTACGTATTTCTGACAACTAGATATTGACCTCCATCGTCATTCACAATTAAGAAAATTACTAGGTAAATATATGAAGCTCTATAATAGCTACATAAACTAAAATAAATTATTAAGTCAATGGTGATTCGGAAAACCGGATAGTAATCATTTAATTATGGGGTCAAATTAACATAACTATCGACGTTTTTTTTTGCAAATTAACTCGTTATATTCGTAGACAAAACTGGTCTAAGGTACCTAATTATAATACAATTTAGCTGTATGTCCAAAATAGTATTGCCGCATGGCGGTATGTTCATTACTACTTTGATGCCTAAAGAAATTCAAACTTCAACTAATTAATTTCTATATAATTGCAGGTTTATGCGGAAATGGCACAATCTAGCCAAACGAGTTGACAATCTTCGCAAAGAAGTGAACATAGCTTTAGTAGGAAAATACACTAAATTGGAGGACAGCTATGCAAGTGTCACAAAAGCTCTGCAGCATGCGTGTATAGCATCGGGAAGTAAACTGAATCTGACCTACATCGAGGCTGTGAACCTAGAACGACAAACTAAGATAGACGATCCCGTTAGTTACCACAAAGCATGGCAGAATCTATGCAAGAGCGAGTAAGTATTGACCAAAAAAATTAAGTTATTGATTTTGTGTTTGAGTTAACAAAGGTAGACATTATATACCTAAATACAGATAGCAGCAGCAGATATAGAGCAACTTTTAAGCTTTGGGAATATCTAATTCCAGACAATTACACAAATAAGAATGTTACAGTATAACGAATTAGAACGAAATATAGCATCTGCCCTGTGTTATTCGCAGATTATAAGCAGGAAATAACGAAACACAATTATTAACAATTTCTCACATTGATTTCAGTGGTGTCATAGTTCCCGGTGGGTTTGGCCAGAGAGGAATGGAAGGCAAAATCGAAGCTTGCCAATGGTGCCGTGAAACTCAAAAACCGATGCTTGGCATCTGTCTTGGTCTACAAGCTTCTGTAATAGAGTTTGCCAGGAATGTTCTAGGGCTTAAAGGTGCTAACACAACCGAAGTAGATCCTAAATGTGAGGACAAACTAGTAATTGACATGCCTGAACATCATCCTGGAAATCTAGGTGGAACCATGAGACTAGGAAAAAGGAAGACTTATTTGGAACCCAGTGTTATAAGTAGGCATCTCACTATGCTAATGTCCTGTATTGTACAATTAATAGATCGGAATGTATGTCTTAATAGTTGTATTACTTACATATACTCGATTTTACAGCTCAACTATACAAGAAAGATGTAATAGAAGAACGTCATAGACATCGGTATGAAGTAAACCCAGAGTACATAGATCGCTTAGAAGCGGCCGGTCTGCGCTTCGTAGGCAAAGATGAGACAAAGACTCGAATGGAAGTAGCAGTGGTAGACAATCACCCTTATTATGTCACTGTGCAATTCCATCCTGAATATTTATCACGGCCTTTGTCACCTAGCCCACCATTCTTAGGGTAAGTTGGTTTTACTTTTTGATTATAACAAAAAATATTTTTATTTATTGCTGAATGCTAAGTGTAACTATGCACTTTGAAAAATAAGTCGTCGTATAGTTCGCAAAGTGTTGCCTGCAGATTTTTTCACCGCAGAATATAACTATTTTTAGAGTTCAAAATATTCACGATCTCATATATTTCATGTTTCATTGCAGACTAATTTTGGCATCTCTTGGAAAACTCAAGAACTACTTATCAAAGGGTTGTCGATTGAGCCCACGAAACCAGTCGGATGTAAGCTCAGGTATGTTCGGTGATTTTTAAAGGGATAAATCCATAAAAACCATAATTTACGATGTTGATTTACTTATTTATTGTGCTTTATTATTTTTTTGCAGATGAAGATGATATATCAGTGTCTTCTTTAAGTTTAGCTGATGAAAAAACAGTCATTGAAAATGGTATTGCCGTAAATGGTGTAAGCAAATAATTGCTGTTTAATTATTCTATAATAATTCAATATTATTGCAGTGAAGTTATACTGTTAACATATAATCAAATTGTATGCTTATTGCCATTGCAAATTGAAATGATAAGAATTAATATTTTTGTAAAAGGAAGGTATTATATAAGTAAACCAGTAAACTACATAATATGTATGAATGTACCATCATTTTATACAAATTATTTCTTTTAGAATGTCTACATCTACATTATTTATACCTTTCCACTAGTCTGTAAATGGATTAAGCATAATAGAAATTGTATATTTTAAATATATAATGAATATACATTTAAGTTTCATTCATTAGAGAACTTTCAAAAAACATACAAGTTCTTTCAAGCTTGAGAAATTTAATAGTACACAGTGTTATTTCATTTTTTCTGTAATTAATCTTAAAGTAAGTAAATATTGGTAACATAAGGATTAATTGTTTTAAATAATAGCTAAGCATAATTTTTGTAGATATTTATATTTTATCTGAAAAGAGATAACTTGTATGTTGATGTAATGTTTTTCTCGAATAATTTGAAGATATTATTTTAAAATGACTATAATACCATTACTGTTGACACCTAAAACATTTGTGTAGATAGATTGTTCCACAAATTTATTTTATTGTACTCCGTTTATAGAATGTTTTTAAAAACTTATACTTATTTGTATTTTATGTTTCAATTGAGCAATATATCAACTTATTGTATAAGTAACTATAAATTATGGATACCTTTCTGTTATTAATTTCTATCTGAGAACCTATTCTAACAGTGTGATTTTAAACTGTCCTTATACCATATTAAATTCATGTAAAAATCTATTTCCTTTGTAATAGTTTGCTAGAACAAAGAACCTGCTCTTTTACCAGAAGGTATGCATGTTATTTTGGTAAAATTCCCTTTTTAATTATGACTATTATAATTATTTTAAGTATTCATACAATTTGTATGATTAAATTTCGACAGAGGCATATTTACGAATAGTATCAATTTGCCCCAAATATTGTATTGTGATGTTTAAATTAACTGGTGATGATATGGCTGTTGTATAGCAAGTGAAGTATATCTTTTATATGGGCAAGTCTTTAGGATTAAAATCTATTTAATGTATGTAATCATAATTTGTTATAAAAAACATTTTCTCTCGAAATTCTAATAGTATTTGATCAAATAACTTCAGGCCTTAGCTTAAAAGTTATCAAAATATAGGAACTTAAATATTAATAAGTAAAGCTGAAGCATTCCATACTACATTTCTTGCAGTTGTTAACTTTGCTCTAGTACTATTGTTACAATAAAGGCCAATAAAGTTTCCCCGACTAATTAATGGTATTTTTATTTACGATAATGTTTCATATGCTTCGTGCAGCACCATCCACAAATAGCGTAATTCGTTGTTGAGAGGAGTTGGCCTAAACCTAAGCAAATGGAATTTACTTCGAGTCTACAAATATGTAGTACTCTTTGGAAAGCAAATCAAAGTGGGCTTGAAACGATTTAACAAGCACATTATTTCCTGACCAAGTAAGAAGTCCAGAACTAAAAGTTACCGTGCTGTAACACAACTCGCCTAATATCTTTATAGACTATAGATAGAGATTTGATTGCGGAAATCCATGACATTAAATGAAATGAAAAATATCTTGTTTTAATTCTCTTATACTTACAACGACAACAACTTGGTGAGAATATATGGATGTATGTTTGTTATTCTTTCACGCAGAAACTGTAGGACCGATTTGGTTTATAGATAGGTCTTAGGTAACCTGATAGATTACCTGGTGGTAAGCCATCAGCGCCGCCCATAAGCACTCATAATACTAAAGAAGTTGCCAACCTCTTTTAGTTTTTAAGGGATCGAGGTTAAGAGGTCAGGGCCCCCGATCCCAGCCCAATTCCCCATTCCCCCCTAGGGTTGCTCCGGTTACCTTATTCACACCATTGAGATAGAAAATATATAGAGGCGCCGTGTTACTATAGAAGTATACATGCTTATACAAATATGAGGGAAATATGAAACAAACTATGAAATATCATTTTTTCTCACTCTTTCTAAGGCAATAATTGTATTAGACAAAAGGGACAACAATATTTAAGTTGTTGCTTAATATGGAAACAAATCATTTTGACATTAGCAAAGTTGTAGGTAAGTGCCATGTCCGCCATCTTAAGCGCTCAGAGTACCTGAGTTTCATGGTAGTTGTCCTGTCAAACAGTTGTTTATGTTTTAAATTATTGCGGTTTTTCAGTAAATTACAAAGAACCATTTTTTTAAACTTCAAATATATATAGTGAAACAAAAAAACAATATGCCTGTGTGTTGTATTGTGCAGTGTGGTGCAAAAAAGAACGAAAATCAACCTCAATTGTCTTTGTATAGGTTAGTAAACAGTTTTCATCAAATATTACTTAGAATAATCCACATAGATAGAAAAAAATGTCACGGATACTTTAATCTATTGCCAAAGTATATATATTTACTTTTATTTCTGTCTGTGAGACAGTTTTAGTAAAAAAATGTTGTTTACAATAATATGTCAATATGGCATAGTTACGTACCATTTCACAAAAGTATCGATATAATCTCCCATTTAAAATTCAACATATATTAAATAATCTATTTTAACAATGGATGTTTCCGCAGTTTTGTGTAACGCTAAAGTAAGACGTCAGTATTTTGGTATTGGTTTTAGTTACATAAGTAGAAGTTCAAATTATCATGTTTTATAATTATACGGGCGCGATTGACAGAGCGGCGTTGGCGACGATCCCAGTGCGACCACCAAGCGTAATAATAAAAAGTGAGATACATACAATAAGATTGACTTCACTACATATCTATTTTGTGCTAACGTAGTTTCGAAGATATCATCGTTTAATCAGACGCGCCGAAATTGTGCGCGAGCACTTCACAAATACCCACAGGTTTTCCACATATATTAAGATAAACATTTAACAAACACTATCTTTTTCTATTTCACCATTCCATTAAACGCTGTTCATAAACACAGTCCTATTTTTTTAAAAGACGCTTTACGTAGAATTATATGAATACAAATTCGACTTGAGAAAATCATTAGCCAATCAAGACACCAAGTTAACCAGGGTTCCGGGCTCTAGCTAGGCCGACGGCAAAGTGGGAACAGGAGTTGATTTTAGTCAGTAACGGTCTGTCCCGAAAAAGGCCGGAGATGACATTAGATGATTTCCCATAAAAAAATACCGTTAATCAACTGGCTAATCCCTAAAACTATACCTACGTAGAACTTTTACTCAAATTGTATCGATACTCGTTAAATACTTAGTTGGCACAACCCTAGCAACGGCAGCCATCTTATGCGACATTTTGGATTGTAGGTAGGCACCTTTTTTTCGTAGGTATTTCAAGTCCATATATTTCCTATGTCAATGATTCACACGGTGAAAGAGAACGTAACGTAATGTGTTGCTTGACGCTGCCTGGTTTACTACAGTGCCATGGTATCACTTGGGTCGAGCCGGCCTATTCGTAGCCGAAGGATGGCTCTTCTATACTATTATCCATTACATATTTAAATTTTAATTTAGTCGATTTTGCTCTAAGATTTATTAAGTAATATCCGAACGCATTACTTTAGACAAGATGATTTTGACGTATGGAAAAATTGTTGCTAGTGGTTATTTTCCAAGATTAGTTGGTAATTTAGTTTTTAAAAAGAAGATTTAAAAGTCTTAACACTTCAATGTTATAATAATTGTAAAGTGAATGTATCTATTTCCAAGGGTTTTATTCAACTTAATAGTTTTGAGATTAAAATATAACAAAACTTAATTACTTTTTTTACATAAAATGAAATTATGAAAAAGGGACAGGAAAATCTACTTTTAATTTAAAGATGGGAAGTTGCGAAGTTCTGTTACAGTCTGGCAACATTGATATTTTGCGCTGCGGCCTGTCTGGGTTGAACTTTGAAGAAAATACTTTTAATTTTTCAAATCAGTTTATCGCGCGTAATGATATCGACTTTAATTTTTATTTAATAGTTTCTCTATATTGTCATATATTAAAGTTTATTGATTAAAATTAAAAGAACAATGTGTTATACCGGACCATGACAGAAGTGACGAAAATTTCTGTTGTAAATAAGAAATCTTAGTTCACCATGGTGTTCGAATCGATTGTGGTGGACGTGCTGAACAGGTTCCTGGGAAGCTATGTAGAGAACCTGAATAGGTCTCAGCTGAAGCTAGGAATTTGGGGCGGTAAGTTTTTGCAGCAAGGTGATGTCATAGTTGCCGAGCTACTTTGAATGCGGTTATTTATGTCTCCCATAAATGTTTTGCAGGAGACGTCGTACTTGAAAATCTTATACTTAAACAGAATGCCTTGGAAGAACTCAATATTCCTGTGCAGACAGTTTATGGACACTTGGGTGAGTCAATCCAATAGGATTTTTATTGCACATAAAAAGACTATTAAAACTAATTTGAAACAGATTGAGCATAGGTGGACTTTTAGTGCACTTAAAAAAACTTATTATCAAAACAAATAATGTTTGAAATATATATGCTTTACTTTCAAATAGATGCAAAGAACAAATTAAAATTCATCTTCTTATAACAAAAAATATTGCAATATTTATTTATTGGTTAAATCCGGGCCAGGGACATCAATGAATTGTTTATCAATATAGGTCACTCTTAGAACTAATCTTGGTGATTTTAAACTTTATGAAATAAAAAATCAATCTAAAAATATAATAGTATCCTTAATTGTTAATGTAATAAAATGTTCAATTAAAAAAAAACTAGCAAGATATAAAATGTTCAATTAAAAAAAAACTAGGAAGTAATTTTTTTTTGTTTTTGTGTACTGTAATGAAATAAGAATTTTTTAAAACAACTAATCTGTTAAACACAATGACTTAGTACTTCTGCGTATAAATGTATTTAACAGTTAACACTATCAATTTTTCCATTACACCATGAGATATTGGTTGCATGGCAAACAAACAATGGCCTTAATGTTTTTTTATCTAATCATCTGTTATGCACTACAGTTTATGTACAATACGATTTTCCAATTAGGTACTTGAAAAGATAATTATGTACAAGACAATGTGACAGTGAGTAAAAGTTATTGTATGTAAACATTAATCCCCAGATTTTACAATTGTGTCCAATTATCATTTTATTTACCAACTTTCATATATCATTACAACAAATAGGCATTTCAGGTTTACTAACTTTAGTTGATTTTATCTATAAAGTTATCATAATCGTCTAACAAATTAAAGCCTATCACAATAAATTAAGATTAAAAAAAAATTGTTCTGAAAGCAATTGCCGAGGACTGAATTAAGTAACCATTAAATAAGTAACAATGGAACAATGAATTTAAACGTCTGTAGTTTATGCTATTCGGGACTATAATTTTTTTTTGCAAAATTGCATTGACATAGATATGTTCACAACAACTCGAGTTTTTGAATGGATATTCTTACATCCCAACAAACTTCATTATTTGTAATTTTATGTAGGAAGTAAGAATTTATGATATGAGTATCTTCACATTACTTTTTGGGAAGATGGCAACTTAACTGTACAAAATTTCTGTCAATAAAGATAATAAAAGAAATACTTTGCTGACATGGTATTAAGGGATCCAATTTCAGCCGGGGTTGCAGGGTAAGTGCATTGAGGCACCCCGACCTCGGCCCAGAGCAAGAAAAGGAACAGGGGGTTTTTTAGTCAGTAAGAGTCTGACACTCCCTCCCGCCCGGCCCGGGGCGGGAGAAGTCATTTGATGATTTTTCCCTCACAAAAAAAAGGGATCCAATTTAAATTTGTATGCCTAACTACCATTCAAATCTTACAGTAGAACAGCCTTTTATTTAAGTATACACACATTTAAAATTGAATATTACCATATAAAGATAATACCATATCAGATAACCATCATACAATCAACATTAAATATAGATAGACAAACATGAAACACTTGATTTTGTTAAATTTTATTACACTACTAGCTACTCTCCTACAGATCGTAGCGTGAGGTTTTATAACCTACTTTCTTCTCTCTTCTTCGTATGTTGAAAAAAGTAGGCTATATTTCGGAGTATCCTATGCCTGTACCAAATTTCATCCAGATGCCTCCAGCCTTTTTGGCGTGACTGAGTTTGTTACTCAGTCACGTCTAAACAGAGTAACTTTCGTATTTATAATATTAGTGGGATAGCCTTCCTCGATAAATGGACTAACAAACAAAAAAGAATTGTTCAATTTGAATCAGTAGTTCCAGAGATTAGCACATTCAAACAAACAATCAAACTCTTCAGCTTTATAATATTATATAGTATAGATTTTTGTTACCTACATATATTGATACAAATATTGATTTGATATTTGTTTTTCAGAAAAACTACTACATATGAAAATAATTGACATATTTAATAAGTATAGGCTCTCACCAAAACAATACAAATTTACCTTCCCACTCACAGAGATACTAGTAATTGAGCTACTTAAAAGAGATTCCTACTAATTTATTCATAGGAATACTTTATAATTTTGTAAACATTTGTATGTACCTTAGAGCACTTCTTTCCGAAATTCAAATGGTATAATTAGTTACCTATTCAATTAAAAATCAATGGAATAAATCTACCAACAACTAAAGCACTTAGTGATCTATAATTAGTAGGGTTATTGGCCAGCCTACCTAAATAAGCAAGGTTATCATGTCAGTCACCAATTAACATGCAACGAAGATAACTGGCATCCCTCTTTGTAATTGTTACATAGTCATAACCTTCTGTCTGGGTGACATCATCCCATCCAATCAGTCCTATTCCGTTTGTGAAACATCTATGTCTCAAGGTCAACCGTATGACCTTCAAATATACATAACATATTTTGTACACAATTTCCCATGGAGGAAAATAGTTTCATTACATGTATTCAATGTTTACTGGTTTGATAATTATAATAAATTTTAGGCAGCCTACATTAAATGATGTTTTTTAGGCAGTGGTTCCAGATAAAACATAGCGTAATGTGATGTAATTTTGTCTTTGCGAAACGACTAGTTTCAAGCCACTCAAGGGGCTCATATTCTTGAACAGCATTGTACGAAACTCCACGAGCCACCCGGAGCTATTTATTTAACGCATTTAATATATTTTGCGAAAGGTGTAAATACAAAAATATATGACAACACAACACCTGTACATTTCGTAGAAGTGATTAAAGAGATTATTATAAAACCTTTTTATGTATGTTGATGTTGATGATTCTCAGCGTCGACGAATTTTTCAAACCGCAACCTTGAAACATGAACCAAAAAAGTTTGCTACAAGTTGTATTAAGTACAATTAAAATTGGTGGAAAATACGGGCCTTAAAGTTTTTGTCGTTGTAATTGTATCTTCAAGGAAAACATTATTAGAATTCGGCGAAGAATTGCTGGCTCTAGTCGTCAAAATACTTTTGTCAGTTTCGTATCACATTTGGCAAAAACAAAGGCATGCGTAGTAATCAAAGGAAGTCCGATTTTACTTTGTCTGATATTAATCTATTATCACTCGAATGATTACGCAAGTTACCTACAACTTCCTACTACGACTACCCAACAAATAAGTGAGAATACTTAAATAACAGAAGTGTGCATATAATGATGACAACAAAAACTTATCAGCTTTAGATTTTCGTCTGATGACAAAGATCCAGAATTTCGAAGTTTCAAATAAGTTTAATATACAAAAATGATGCAGATCTACAACATCGTCATTAACTGATTTAGAACACTGCACTGTATAGGCGGTATTGTCCAGAATTAAGGATTATTCAAATGAGTAACTATTGCGTTACCGAAAACCATTTTCTAGTACGAAAAACTGGAAAACCTTACTTGTACGACATTCATGATAAACCGTGTTATCGACTTTTTCTTCCGAAAAGTCTCCATTTTACAAGTAGTCCGTAGTCCGTGTCCGCGTAGTTTAATCCGTTTTTATGATCAGTACCTACCTAGTACCTAATATGTAGTTTGTTTTTATATAACAGGTAAGCTCCTTATATAGTTGCTATAAAAAATGCTTCAACATCAATCTTTGTCACAGCATATCAGTATAAGTAGTTATTGTTCAGAGTAAAATACCTTATTATATTTTTCTCTTATCTTTATTGTTTTTAAAACAACTTATGCTAACCTTAAAAGTAAATTGTTTCTTCAACACTTCAATTTATTTTCCATATGATGTGTTCAATACTTATTAAATTATATCTATAAAACTAGACATCAAAAGTATGTTTGCGTAGTAAAATCGCTTCAAAAACAGTGCAGGCAATTATCGCATTTAGAGCCATTAACTGAAAGGCGCTAATTACTAAAGCTCCAATCAGAAGAGCTACCATACAAGTAACTATTGGCGATTGGCGATTTTTACGGCTGAATTCAAATTGTCGATTTAGCTCGGTAGTAAGTGATCGAAACTTTATTGCAAATGAGTAGAAGTGCTCCATACGACCAATATATAATATATAATAACAGTTGTTTTGTTTCTAAAAGCAACAAATTCCGCATTCGATCCCTAATTAGTTCGTCTGTGATACCTACCTGTATACATAGACTTAAAGGTACTCATACATACCTAGCACTTTTACCGTGTAGATCAACTATACTACGGATCCTTTAATGGAACCCTAAATAGGAATATATTTGATTGAAAAAAAAACAGTTTAAAATATGCATTTAATCATTATTCGACACAAAAATTTTATATGACCTTGTTTAGGTTTTTGATAACACGGTATTATTAACTTTGTGTTATGTCTCATGCATGACCTAAAGATGAAAAAAGTTAGGTAATTGCTATAAATAAATAAGTTAGTAACAGGGCACTCCTTTGTACGCAATGGCATTAGGCACCTGAAACAAAAGCGGGTCACAAGGTTATAGGTTTATGTCAGAAGTTTGAGCTGTTATAAAAGTGTTTCGAGTTTTATTTAGGTAGAAACCAAAATAATATACTTGTTTTGGTGGAACAGCAATGAAAAGCAGTATTCCTATTAATATGCGAAGTATAATCGGCAGAAGCGGAAGTACACAGTCATGGCCTAAGTGATGCATACTGGGACCATATAATATTATCTACATACCTAGTGTAAAACTAATACCAAAAATAAAAAAGAGCTGTAATATTTTGTCATAAAATCTCTTAAGACAATATTTTCTCTAATTAAACCCGCTTAGGTGCTTATCAAAATAATCTGAAAGTAATATTTGTCAACATTAATTGATAACATAACGAGCTATTGTTTTGGCGCGCAAGATAATAATGTATTGTAATTAATTCAGAAATTGTATTCTATCAAAACTGGTTATCGAAAAATGTATATTTGTAGCTCAATGCCGTCATCACGCCAGTTTAAATGTATGACGTAATTATAATTTATAACAAAGTAAATATTTCCTGCAGCAAGGTGTTTGACATTCAAAATATTATTATAAGATGAGTGGTGCTTAACGGCTAGACTCGAGACCAGTATTAAAAGTGTTGATGAATCATTTGTTGTTTACGCTAACATCTTTTTACAGGAAAGTTAGTACTTAAAATACCCTGGAAAAATCTCTATGGCGCATCAGTAGAAGCAACAATTGAACGTCTGTTTTTGATTGTCAACCCTACTGCTGAAGTTAAGTATGACCCTCAGAAGGAAGAGAAGCTCGAGTTGGCTGCCAAGCAGGCTGAACTGGCAAGAGTGGAAGAAGCCAAAAAGAGGGAGGCACAAAAAGGTACATTGTGTTTGTTATTGGTTAATTCCTCAATTTTATTATCAGTTTGCAGTAATAGGTACTTTTCGCTATCGCGTGCGCTAATGGAATAAATTATATCAGAATTAAAGTATACCGATATATTATTGTCACTGTTTTATAGTTTATTTTATAAGTTCTTTTGTTCCCTTATAATTTATTAAATTTTAGTAAGCATAAGCGAATATAAATATGTGTTTATAATAGGTTATAAACTCGCGACCTGAATTTAGAACCTAGGTCCTGACTCTTAGCAAATTTATCGTAAATAATGTTAAAAGAGCTAATAGAATCTAAGTACGTAATATTGTTTTTCTAAGGTATATTAACTTTGGCTAAACATTAATTAAGGTGAAGGATAGCTAATAACACAATATAAACGTAAGACGTTGCCACTTAGCATAATATTAATTATTGAGTAAATCTGTTGTATTCCCTTTCTATAAATTTTACTTCACTAAGATTCGTAAGGGCAACCACTTACTAAGGAAGTTTCGTGATTACGATCACTTCGTAAAAAGTCCGCGATAAAGTAGAAATTTTACTCGTGATCCGAACTAGATACGTTATCATTGTAATAAAAGAAATAGGGCTCACTACTTCTAAGATTAACTTGTTTCGTTCACCTTAATACACCTTAGCATAATACAATATGATTTATAAACGATTATTAGAAATCAATAAGTGTTTATCAGTATGTTGAGTACCAATAACAGAAGCACTTGAGTAGAGAATAAAATAAGATGCAGTAGTTACGATGCATTTAGTTTTATCAAAATGTTAGAATTTATGTCACGCTTACCTTAATGGATGGATTAATCGAAAATAATATATTTTAATGCATACTCATGAGGTCTCCGAATGGTTCTCGACATAAATCGCAAGGTTAAGTCCGGACTGAATCTTGTATATGTGTCACAATGTACGTATTTTTGCTATGCAATGTAGAATATCTATGTACTTTCTTATTTTTAGATCAAATTAAACTCGACGAGACGTTTGTCGAGAAGTTGGTGACGCAAATAATAAAGAATGTTCAACTGAAAATTAAAGACATTCATATACGATATGAGGACAGCATCACGAATCCTAAAGCGCCTTTCTCCTTCGGTATCACCCTACACAACTTGTCCGTCCAAACCACTGACGAAAACTGGCAGAAAGCAGTCATTACCGATGCCGTTACCAAAATTTTCAAGGTAATTACTTGTTATAGAGTCATTTATATTCTATGGAACTTTAAAAGATAAAGTTGAAGGTTCGTCGTCTTTTGTAAGGTCACAACGATTATGTTTGGTATTTACAAACAAAGAATTGGAGAGTAAATTATTGCGATTGATTTAAAATATTTTGGTTATTTGAAACTTTTTTGGCTAATTGAAAATTCAATGTCTTTATTAAATAGTTGTGGAAAAATTGGTCATTGTAATTTAAATCCAAAATTTTTCCATTTGAAAATAAATTGCATCAAAAAAACGCTATCATCGTCTCATAAGCTAGAAAAACAACAACGAAGTCCTTATATTTGTAACAAATAGTGTCTTTTTCCAACAGATTCTAGACTTAGAAGGGTTAGCAATTTATTGGAACCCTGCCACTGAAGTATATTCCCGCTCGGAAGCTCTGCAGATAAAGGATAGACTATTAAATGAGATTGCGACAAAATCGTCCAAGCCAGAGTTTTATCACTATGGTGAGCATTACGCATTACGTATACAAGTAATTTATAAAGAAAAAGATTTTATAACTGTATGTGTATTTTAGCTTTGGGCCCAATAAACGCAACAGCAAAACTAAAACTAAATCCAAAACCGGAGGGTGACACACCCAAATTTAGTTCGCCTAAAGTTATACTAAGTCTACACATGGAGCAGCTCTCAGTCAACCTAACGAAGGCCCAGTACCAAGATATGATGTTACTGGCAGATTCTATGGACAGAATGAACAAACAGGCCCCTTACAGGTATCTTGATTGATGTTAATTTTATTACTGCACTGCATGACCCGTGATTACTTTTTTGGCTGGCCTTCATGTAGGTCAGGCAAACTTATACGGATAATTTTTATTGCTGCGGCTGAGTTTGTTATGATTTATAGTTTATTGTAATTACTGATATGAAACAGAATTCGTGTTTTGGTTTAGTTGCAAATCTGAATGCTGATGCTAACGATCTTTGATTCGTTTCTAGAATCATAAAAATGTCGTACGAGTTAACTTACCGGTGAATGAAAACAGGCTATATGCCAAACCTCCCACTATCATTTGAGACGAAAACACGCCTGTTGAAATGAGTGTTTTACATGGATTATTTTGGAAACATAAAAGCTTTATGTATATGTCTATGCTTTGCTTACTGGCATATTTTTAACTACGAAGGGTGGTATTAGACATGAACAATCATTATTTAGTTTATATATCGTATGTAAAGCAATAAAACAACTAAGTATTATTCTACTTCAGTATTATTCTACTAATGAAAATTTAGTTCAGTTTTAAATAAATAAAAATTTATCACAGAAAGTACCGTCCAGACCTTAAAAGTTATAAACGACACTACAAAGAATGGTGGAAGTTTGCGTACACTTGCATACTCGAAGAAGAAGTACGCAGACGGCGCAGAAATTGGGATTGGACGCATATGTTGGAACACAGGCAACTGTGCAAGGACTACGCGACGGTCTATCAGTGTAAACTGAGTAATAAGGGCAAAGTCTCCTCGGAACAGCTATGCGTGCTGGACAAGGCTGAGAAGCAACTTGACCTTCTTAACCTTGTGGTGATCAGACAGAAGATTGAAATGGAGGTATGTGTTTGATTAATTCTTGAGTAATAAGAATAGGTCGACTATGTATAGTTATTCGATATAGCTTTTTCTGGAAGGATCAAATAATTGTCTTTGATACTTATGTTAGAATTCTTCTTATTTAAATATTTGTTTGCACATTTTTAGGTCGAACGATTGGGTAAACTCGAAGAGGAAGCAAAGAAGAACAAAGGTTGGTTCAGTGGCTGGTGGTATGGCAGCAGCTCCAAAGAGGACGAGATGGGCGAAGGAACAGCTATCAGTAAGTACCTTCAGAAAGACAGCCATTTAACTTAAACTCCTATGCTGTAACATGAATTTGATTTATCTTTCAACCAAATAGCTCTGCCTAATAACGAATATTTCTATTATAGTGAAACAATTCGAAAAGGCAATGACGCCGGAAGAGAAAGAGAAGTTATTCCGTGCGATAGACTATCAAGAGAACTCGGCACCGCTGCATTTGCCCGTGGAGTACGTAGCTGTAGAGAGCTACTTCCAACTGGATCGGTTGCAGCTTAGAGTTACTGATGAGGTGGAAGTGCTGAAAGCCTGTGTGGAATATGTCGAGGTTGATATGAAACAGCGGCCCAGTGCTAATGCGTTGAGGTAAGTGATATGCCACTACATTACTTCTTTTCATATTCTTGTTTTCATCATGTAGAGTCCAGACACAGGATTAATACTGGGGTGTATTTAGTCTACTTACCAGTGCCAAACAAGGTACCATTTAGTTCTATTCGCACAAGTTGAATAAAATCAAAGCTTATGGAAGCCACTTTAACATTCCGGTATAGAAACCATTTATTACAATTTCTTTGTTTTCTGACTTTCAGAGTGGATGTCCAGATGAAGTCTTTTAGTGTGACTGGCGTACAGCAAGGCTCGTTTGAACCACAACTAGTCACTTCAAAGGAGGTCTCTAACAATGTCAATTTATTAAATGTTGTCTTCGAAACAAATCCTCTAGGTAAGATCCTTTTACAATTGCTTTTAATGATATTTTTATTTAATCTGAAAGAGAAATGTCTATATAATATGTACTTTTTCAGATGGCCTATGTAACCAAAGAGTGAAAGTCTCCGCACGACCTTTACAAATCATATACGATGCACAAACTGTCATAGAAATTGTAAATGTGTTCAAACCAGAAACCGAATCTACTGCGTTGTCAACGTAAGTAAATGCAACATTGTGATTGACATACATACATCTTTCTGAAGGCGAAAAACGTTTAGTACATTAATATACCTACCACGAAATGAAATTACTATTCCTAACATCTTCTTTGCAAACTTTTTGTATGAATATATTTTTCTATGAATAATTAGTTATTTATTTGATAAATATGTACATGCTATCTTCTCTTTTAGTTTACAAGCTGTGGCAGAAAACAAACTGTCGGATCTCAAAGAGAAGTCTGCGTTAGGTATGCAGTACGCTGTCCACCACCACACATTCATAGACCTCGATATTGATATCGCCGCTTCATACATTATAGTACCGAAAACTGGTATCTACAATGAGTAAGTATTAAGTAAAACATATTATTACTAGTTAAAGTCACATTTAGACTTTAACTTATAGGAGATAAAGATCATTTTTGAAATTCAAATAAGTTTAACTAATGGGAATTTTTATTGTTTACCTAAGAAAGACTGGGGAACTGAACTGTTGTATGTTGTGTGTAGTAGTACCTATGCTAAGAACAAAAAAATTACAGGGGTGGAGCTTGCGTCGTAGTCAAACTCGGTGCCATAAAAGTGAAATCAGAGCCTCGTTCCCAGGCGTTAGATGTTCACAAATTGTATAAAGAGGGGTTGGCCGATGAAGATATACTAAGAGAAATAACGCGTCACAGCTATGATAAAATGGCTCTTGAACTTACTGAGATGCAGGTATGAATTGCACCCCATTAATTAGTTTAACAAACCAATTTAAAATATGGAAATATTGACAAGAGTTATGTTAATATCAGTAGGTACTTACATTTAGCAAGTATTACTATTAAAAAAAAAAAAAAAGTAGATAGCAAATTCGACTCGACACGATAACTCGATTTTCAACAAAGTCAACTTCTTGAGTGCCAATACTTTAATTCAGAGGTTGCGTTTTCTTTTTTTTATGGGATCGTCGGCAAACGAGCCGACGGATTACCTGATGGTAATCCATCAGGTATAAAGCTACCCGCAACACCAAAGGAGTTACGAGTGCGTTGCCGGCCTTTTGGGGATAGGGGTTGCGGATATTTAAGGATTGGGAAGGGATAGGGGAGGGAAAGGGATTGGGCCTCCAGTAACCTAACTCACATGGCGAAACACAACGCTGTGGTTGTTTCACGCCGGCTTTCTATGAGGCCGTGGTATCACTCCGGTCGAGCCAACTCATTCGTGCCGAAGCATGGCCCTCCCACACTTAGACTTAGACTTTCATTTGTTATTTCGTTAGTTGTATAAATTCTGAACAACATTTTTTATACAGATAGTCATTGCACATCCTAAAGAGGACTGGCAGTCGGCGATATCATCAACAAATGATGAAGGCACGCCCCTACATTTACTTCAGCCCACCAATTTAGTTATACAGATACATAAGTGTTTGATCACTGACGACCCAAGGATGCCCAAGGTCAGGGTCATGGGAGAATTACAAAAGATTGCCATCAGTGCTTCCGAAGATAGGTGAGTTCAGAAACTTATTCTAAAAACGAATGCCTCTTCCTATATGTACATGTATATGTATACTATGTCCGGAAACTATGGTATCGTTCAGGAGAAAGCTTTATTGTAATTTATTTTGTTGCGTAAAAACACCTCCTTGCTACAAAATATGTCGTATTATGACGATAGATCTACGGTTGAGTGAGTCTATGCAGTAAATAAATTTTTGCTAGTATGTCGCTAAGACCGAAGTTTACAATTATTACCTAAAATTTCAATAAGTATTCTAATGCATACGTTACTTTACAGATTATTAACGCTTTGCGAAATTTTAGTAAGCATGCCTCTACCTAAATCGGATGAAGTTACCCAATTGAAGGTTTGTATAAAATATAATATTGATTACTTCCTTACTTTCCCTAATTATAATTTCATTTCAGTTCTTAATGTTTAACTTTTTTCTTCTTAATTTAAAGATATTTTGCTACAAATTTGCGTACACTATGACTGGTTCAGTGATAGAGCCAAATTATACTATTAAGAGTGCACACCCGAGCCAGGCGCTGGTGGTAACTTCCTTTGCCCACAGACAGTAGATGTGATTAATTTCACTTCACTATACTATTTAGACGTCACTTTAAAACATATAAATAAACATCAAAGTATCGTAAAACTTAGTGTAGAATTAAACATTTATAATTATAAAAAGTAATAATTAAATAATACTTCACGCAATTATTCTAGCAAACAGCTTCATCTTAGTTAGTTGTTATGAGTGAATATTTAATTTGTTTGTAAGTTCTTTACATTAATTTTTGAATGGTACTTTTAGCAAAGTGAATCGAAAGGATCAAGTTTGTCGTTACTGAAATATTTAGATCCTATGGAGAAACAGAAGCGTGAGGCGGCTCGCTCTAAAGAGAAGAAAAAAGACGAGCAAACTGTGCAAATGACTGAGCTTGAAGCTTTCTTTATTATGAAAGGTAAGATCCATAAAGATATTAAGCGATAACTAGACTGGATAAACAGTTCAAACGGTTTTATTTACTAGCAGCCCGGCCCTGCTTCGCACGAGTAGATATTCAACTACTTTCCCGTTCGCTAAGTCCCAATTTACCCTTTTCTAAAAGCCTTTTTCAAAACCATCTGGTAATAACAAACACTACCAAATACTAAATTGATCCAGGAATTGTTAAGTTATGCGCTTATGAACATTTTACGATTCACTTTATACATAAGTGGGTGTACGACTTCTAATGTTTAATTTGTTAGAATTAAATATTTTTTTTCTCAACAGAACTAATCCTCAGTATTAACAGAAAGACAATAGATGCGTCGAAAGGCTACGATAGATTCTTAGTCTTTTCGCTAGCGCTATTAGAAATAACTGCTGTACAGAAGACTTTTACTCTAGAAACGACTATTCGTTTGGGATCTGTGAAGTTACAGCACCATAGAGTTGGCTATGGGCTTTCGGTCTTGGATATTATTGAGACACCTGAAGTCGTAATAGAAGATCAATCTATTGAAAAAGTTGCACTCAGTAGTGTACACTTACAGAATCAGAATCAGTACCTATTTACTGTTACGTACAGAAATGTAAGTAAGAATCTTAATTTAAGATATTATTGAGCTAATCCTTTCAAAATATATATTTACATTAATTATTAATAATGGTTTCCAGGTTGACAAAAAGTGCCCAGATTTTAGAGGCATTTATGGCTCAGTTGAACAAATGATTGAGTTGGATTTCACTAATTTAAGAGTTCTGCTACATCTTGAAGGCTTGCGCGAGATACTTTTCATCGTTAACGAATATCAGGTATGTCGATATTGTATTAACAAGTATGATAAGACTAAATTTAAATACTCGCATTAGTATAACATCGTTGATACAGATTATAAGAGTTTATGATAGAAAAACTAATCACATAGCTTTTCCACTGTGCTCAACTAGTTTCAAACCACCATGGGGCTCATAATAGTGAACAATTAAAATTATCCTATGTTAAAGATGTGCAATTAATGGTTTTCTCTTAACAAAAGTCTTATATCGTCCGAAATTATTTTTAATTCGCAGACTCGAATGCAAGCTATCCAAAGTACAGTCGATAGAACAGCCAATGCTGGACCACTAGAAACAATTATGGAGGATGAAGAATTTGTTACAGCCAAATCTAAAGGTAAGCTTCATAACCATAGTATGCCAAAAACAAATCAGATACTAATAAACCATTATTGTAAATGTGAATTTAAAAAAATGAGAAAATCTTTTAGTTACTTCTGATGAGTCGATATGGATAAGAGTCCCTCTTATCCATACGCCGCGACGCACATGCCGCTATTTTCAATAAATTTAGTATTTCTCACCATCATTCAAGAAAGGAGTGAACTAAATGATATTTAATGTTGTTATTATTATTATTTAAAGTGAGTGTATCGAAGCCATCTCGTCATAAGCAAGTGGAGAGCATACAGATGAAAGTCAACTGTAAGATTGGGGCAATAGAGATCGTTTTTGCGACGGAAAAACGTCCTTTGTCCGTGGTACAATTGCAAGGTGCTGCAGCTGGCCTAGTACTGAAGGCGTCTTACACACAAGTTGACTGTACTATTGCGTCTATAAAAGTAGAAGATCTCAATCCTGAAACTGTACATAAAGAGGTTAGTTGTTTTGCTATGATATTTTCGTAACGATTTTGCAAATTTCTTGGATCTCTAAATTCTGCTAGATACTAATATTAAGAATTTTATAATATTACGGTATAAAGAAGTTTTATTTTTAATTTGCATCTATTCTTACAGATACTCAAAGTACTCGGCGGAGACGTGATGAATGTACAAATAGTGATGTACAACTTAGATCAGTTTCCTACTGTCAGCGATATCGATATGTCAATAAATTGCCAGGTCAGCTGTCTGCGCATAATATTCCTCAACTGGTTCGTCACATCTATGTTGGTAAGTAATATGCACCTATAACATAAAAATTTACTCTGTATAGTTGTTGAGTCGAGGTGTTTTACATCTAAAGTGCTATCTTCTTTTAATAGGAATTCCTGAACAATTTCCAAACAGCTCAACAAGCGATCATTGAGGCGTCCTCGCAAGCCGCAGATGCAGCGAGAGCTAACGTACAGAACGCGTACACAAATTCAACGAAATTATCCCTTACAGTGCGATTGGATGCTCCCATCATTATTGTTCCAGAAAATTCAAAGAGTAATAACGCTATGCTCATAGATTTGGGTGTGATGACTTTGAATAACAAGTTTGTGGATCTGAATGTCGTTGTAAGTATGCAAAAATAACTACACAGGTACAATTGCGAACAAATCCGCCTGAAAGTCACAATTATAATTTTGCACTTGAATGATAGATGTGATCTCTATCCCCGCCCCATAATATCTTGTATAAACAAATCAATGCCAAAATGCTGGTACTTATAATAAAAAATCAAATGTTAAGAGTCGTTTTTACGCCACGGCATTATCGTTTATTTAATAGACTTTGTTTTTATTTGCTGGTTTTAAGAATTATATTCTTTAGTGTCAAGTGGATTAGTCTATGATTGTACTCGACTTGAAGTTAAGTTAAATTTAATTGGAAATTGAGACAAATACTCTATTTTACATTAAAACTCTTAGGATATCAGCAACAAAGTAACAGTGGACGAGTTAATTCTCGAACTAGAAGATATGAAAGTGTCATGTGTGAAGCTCGAAGACGATTACAAAGATGCTATTTATGAGAGGAAGTTGCTGCGGCCCACCAGTTTCAAACTGTTTGTCAAACGTAGTCTCTCGCTTTGGTACGAACAACTACCAGACTTGGATATATCAGGGAGAATGAAAACCATTGCCGTAAGTGTTGTTAATGCGAAGAAATTTAATTAATTTCGTTGTATATAAGAGTCATTAAAACCGATTATTAAATTCCAGATCACAATAGGTCATAGCGATTACAAGAGTATTATGAAAATACTTAACCAGAATCTGCAAGAAGGTGCAATGGCTGAAGATAAAGCTGCAGCAGGGCTAGCTAAAACCGCATCAAAGGCCGCTGTGAGACCAAGTAAAACACAGTCCAAGTCTGTAGCTGCCGTCATATCGTCTAAAGAAGCTGAAGTGAAGAAACCTAGAACTACTATAAAGTTCTCTTTCACTATGGACAGCTTTGTTATAGATCTACTGAACACTGTCTCCACTGTAAGTTGTGTGTGTTGCTTTCCCTGTGTTTACTTGTTTTATATGAAATATTTTGGTAATACAATGAGATTTTAAATACCGTTTAGACAAGAAATTTGATTATTTGTGACTTTATCGAAAGTAATCAATTAATTATGTTTTAGTCACAATCCGGAGAATACTCAATGTTCGCTCAAGATGTGGAGCTGGCGCGTTTCTGTATGGCACTGCTGTCAGTGAAAGGAAGAATGCTATCTGATGGTTCTATGCAAACCTCTGTGTTACTCGTAGATTGTACGCTCGATGATACCCGACCAGGCAGGGAGACCAAGATGACTAGGTAAGTGCTAACGCTTTAATATTAAAACGTATACACGGTATGATTTGGAAAAAACTTTGTTAATTTGATTATTTTAAACGATTTATCGTCTAAATGGGTCATGTTTCGAATTCGATTGTACAACATTCTAAGGGTGAGGAAGGGTTGGACTTCCGGTAACCTCACTGACTAACCTGACTGACTAACTGATCTTTGGTCGTGTGAGTGACGCTGTGGTTGTATCACGTCGTCGGGTTTGCTCCGGTCGAGCCAGCCCATTTGTACCGAAGCATGGCTCTCCCACACCTCGCAAAGTGTGAATAAATTTATTTAAAACTATATATTTTCCCTAACATTTAAATACAATTTATTTAACAAATTGTTTGACCAGGTACCTAGAAAGACGTCGCTCCCACAAAGCCGACTCTACTGGCAATGACAGTGCGATGGAGTCGCCTGATAAGATACGCAGCATGATTGACGTCACCTACACTATGAAGAATAATGATACATTCAGTAAGTTTATGATATAAATTATGTGTAATAACTTGACAAAGAAAGCCACATTTGAATATGTGGACATCAGATTGGTAAAAGCAATAAATATTATATAGTCTAAGTTACTCAGGTGAAAGTACTTTTCCAATGTTTGAGAAACAGACGCAACAGTTTTGCACTATTTCCTTACAATATTCGTGTAGATCACTCATTTTTCGACAGTTTTTTAGGTCGATGATAGAAGAATAAATTGTATAAAATGTTCACGACAATATTGTACCCTTGCAGTTGACATGAGAATCTTCAGTTTCGACCTCATATTGGCGATGGATTTCTTAAACAAGATCGCGGAGTTTATGACAACAGGAATCGCCGACGATGGACAGAAATTGAAGGAAGACGTAGTACCGATCCGAAACATGCAAGAAAAATCTACTGATGCTATATCGGTAATTTATACCTAATATAAAATTGTTATTCAAAGAGAACTTTAAGCCTTGTTTTTTTAACAATGTCTGGAAAGCCACTATGTACCAAATAAATTTAATAATACAATGTAATAAGAAAACAAAAGTTAATCGGAGCCTAAAATTATTCTGAGTGATCAATATAATATAATTATTTTGTTATTATTTCTTTTTCAACAGAAGAGAAGATCTACTGCGGCATCGACTCCTACAGCAGAACCACAGAAGCTGTCAATGATGACAGTCAATATAAAGATTGAGCAGCCAGATATTATCCTCGTGGAATCACTGGAAATGAAGAATTGTGAAGCTTTGGTGTTAAACGTTCGTATATTCTGTGTTTATTTAATTCTTTTGTTTAGTTAGTTTTTTAATATGTTAAGAGTAACAGTTTATTATGAGGTATGTAGTGTCACTGCTGGGTAACGCTACGAAAAGGTGAATGGTATTTTTTGTAATTGACAAAAACCGGAATAGTTAATTTCCACTACATACTTATGTAGTACATAGTAACATAGTGAAATAGTGCTTTCAACGTTATGATTTCAAGTGAAGGTTTTCTTCCGATGTTATAAATGATGAACTTGTTATAAATTTCTCAATTTTTTAGATAGTCACATACTAGGGTCATAAACGCTTGTATGCGTGCAGATGGAGGCGCGCTTCAAGTTGCGTCGCAGCGCGGAGCGCATGGTGGCGGACGGCGGCATCTCGGGGCTGCAGATGGTGGTGCGCGCGCTGGGCGCCGACGGCGAGCTGGCGGGCGCCGCGCCGCGCTACCTGCTCGCGCCCACGCATCTGTCGCTGGCGCTGTCGCAGCCCCCCGCCAGCGGGATGCACATCGACATCGCCATCACAGACATCAAGGTCACTGTGTCTCCCGGTTAGTATACCCCTTTTTCCCAAAGACAAGCAGTGATATCTCGAAAGCTCAATTAGGAATTAGCTTGTACCTACTTAACTTTAACTATTATCTTAGTTATTATGAAACAGATTATGTATTTACACCTGCAAAATTTAGTTAAAATAGTCAAATCTCAACCAGAAAAAATGCTTCCAAATAATAAATAGACTGATATAATGAAAGAATCGAAATACTAATTTGTTCCTTTTGTACTTAGATATCATAGCTCTGCTGAATCGCGTGTTGGCAACGATGACGAGTAGTGATGAAGACAACCAAGTAGAAGAAAACAAGGCGATAATCTACGATCAGCTGTGGGCCATACAACCATTCAATCCTAACTCTTATTGGTTCTTAAAAACAGGTGAGGATATCTTATGCTCGTGTCTCTTTTATTATTTAAATTGAATTGTTAACATTTATACACTAGCAAGAAATGTACATCATATGTACTAAAATTATGTATTTTGCCTATAGAACAAGCAGTCGAGGCGATCGACGCCGAGGAGACATATGTAGAGATGACTGCGAACCCTCCAGTTGGAGAGATTTGTTTGTTATCCTGTCCATCAATCATCACATCGTTTGAAATGGATATCGGTAACGAGACCATACCCGTGTTGGTCATGCAAGCTTCTCTTACTGGACAAGTCAAAGATTGGAGCTCAGATGTGCGTAAAATTAATTTTTCAAGCAGAATATATTTAGGATATTAGTAAATGTTGTAGTAACTGTATATTTTTCTTCCAGCTCTACGCCGAATCGACGTGGGCAATGCAAGTATCGTACTATAACATTGAACGCGCAGTGTGGGAACCGCTTATAGAACCTGTGGAAGTACTCAAGGATTACCAATACAAACACGTACCTTGGGAACTTAAGATGGAGGTAAAGTAGACTGTGAAGCTCCTAATAAAATGTGTAGCACAATTCTAAACCTTATTGTTTTGAGAATAAGGTTCATTTATATACTTTTTGACTAACAGGTAGTGATGCATGCGCAAGAGGCGCAAACAATAATTGATACGACAGATGAAGCTGCTAATTTGCAAGCGGTGGCGCAGAGACAAGCTCGCAAGACCATCACCTTGTCGAGTAGTGAACCACTCGAGATCACCATCACTAGAACTGGCATGGAGGTGAGATTAATCGGTATTGTTAAATCGGTGCCATTCATAAACTACCGCAAAACCTGAGGAGGCACAAGTATGTTGCTAGTGTTAGGGGTTAAAAGATGTGGAAATTTTGTTTTATGAATCGTATGTAGGGCCTGTAATCTGATCCAATAAAAAAGTCACAGTATCGTGATTAGGTGACCAATTGGTACGTATCCTATTTGGGTTTAAAATCTCGTTTATGTTAATCATACACTAATCGCGCTAGTCTCGTATACAAACGATATAAAAAAACAGTGTCACACAAATTTCTTAATATTTGTGCAACTTTTCTTTTGAAATCTCAGATATCAAGGTGTGTTTTAGTGGAAACTTTATTGAAATATATAGAATATTGTGATACAATGAGGATTTGTTTGTTTTAGGTGTTGACTCTACTAGGAAACTCGTTTTCTGCTGCTGGGGAAACGACTGCCGAAGGGGCAAGCACATCAAAGTCCAAAGTTGATGTGAGTATTCACATACACTTTTATCTAAAGAGAATGTTCAACATATTTTTTTTATTTCATTATACGCAACTATTGAAACTAATATTGTAGCCAATTTTTGTAAATCAATAGAGTGATTGTTTTGAGTGTACTGTTACATTTTCAGCCATTTACAAAGACCTTCCTCGGAGCTCCCTACGTTCTTCACAACTGCACCGGTCTTACGGCTAAGTTGATATTGAAAGAAAACCACGACTTCACTGTTTGTCTTACTCAAGAATATGTTTCGTCTGACTACAGGTATATTCATACACATCCATTATCTACTATAACATTACGACCCGACTTTTATTTATCAAACAAGCAGACGATGTTTGACCTTTCGCCATTTCGGCCAATTTTTTTTTCATTTGTAAATGCAAACCATTTTCAATTTCATTCGCTCAAGGGTACAAACTACAAATGAGAATTGTTCAATATTGTAATGCCGTCTTAATCCTCATTTTAAAATGATTATCTGGAATATTCTTTTAAAATGGTTGTTTGGTGAAAATAAATGTATTTGTTTTAGGGAAGTGGTTTTGGAACCGGGTGCTTGTGTACCTTTACAGCTTAAACATGGTGGACTCAATTTAATGAAGCTGAACGAACCACCGCCACCACTTAAATTAAGTGTTAAGGTAAGTATTTATGCATTGAAAAATGTTAAAAACTTTTCTTAGGTTGATATTGTCACTGTTAATATTTTTTGGTATCTTGACATTATTGTAATTTTAACAAAATTAAGAATCTGAATAATTATGATATTCTTTCCTCTGTGTTCCTGAACCATTTATCCAATTTTTTATATTATTATTTACCTTCATTTTGATTAAACCTTCAAAAGGTGCTTCGAGCTTTTGGGTTAAAAGACTAGCGTGGGATTTTTACGTCACTTATATCCCCCAAGAGAACTATCTCCAAAGCTTTCAAGTATACGTACGGAATGACCTCACTGCACACATAGGCACGTGACCACTACTGTACATGTGAATGAAACTGACTGTTTTTTTTCTTTTTAATTAAATTTAATATGCAATGTTTCTTTTAGATTGTGGAAATTGAAGACGAGGTCCAGATTCCAGTGGACCGTGCAGACAAGCGGTACTTCCCATTAGGTCGCAAGTTGTCAGGCAATCCGTGCGACAAGAATGTCCCTCACGTGGCCGCCATAGAGCCGCGCGGTCTCATCTCTGATGTCGTCATGCAGGATGCCGCGTTGCATATCTATCTTAGGAGTGTTGTACAGGTAATAATAATAAACATTACCAATTTCACCCTATTTTTTATGTGATAAAGATACCTGATGGAAAGCAAATGCCTTTTGGGATTTTGAAATTTTGAGATTGGGGTGGCATTTGAGGAGGAAAAAGATTAGGCTTCCGGTAATCCCACTCATACGGCGAAACACAACGCTATGGCTATTACACGCTGCTTTTCTGTGACGCTGTGGTATCACTCCGTCGAGCAGACCCATTTATGCCGAAGCATGGCTTTCCCACAACAAATAAACTTCAGACCTCCCAACTAGAGGGCTATTAACACATCCAGTTCCCCCGACGCGTATGTGCGTTTCGCACCTGTGCGTTCTATACATTAATGTATGTGTTAATTTGTCTACTAATAAATATATTGACACGGTCAGGTAACGAACACACTGTCAGTGAACGTGTCGGTATACTACATGACGCTGAGCGGGAACGAGGTGCGACTACTGGGGGAGGTGAAGCCGGGAGACGTACTGCGACTACCACTGCAGGCAGTACATACTCCCACCGCCGAGTTGTTCTTCTCCGTTGAAGGTATGTTGCTATTTATTTCAAATAGAAACGTTGAATGTCAAATGATTTCCAACTTTATCGTCCTATTAATACAGTTGATAATCAACGAGGAAATGGAAGCCTCCGTGTGTGTCTGGTCTATTAATTATTGAGCATTTTCATTCGTTATTTTTTATATTATTGTTTGCTTATTAGGTTTCACAGTATCTGTATCGCCGTTCATCTGGCGGGAACTACAACAAGAAGTTAAGATACACAAACTACTGCAGTGTGACTCTAAAGATAAGAACAGTGGAGAGAAGTTCTACCTAAAGGTATGATGATCTGACGTAACAGAATTATTTAAGTACTAAATATTTCTTCTGAAAAGACTTAGCTAAAATTATTTTGGTTTTTAGGCGGTCGGCAAAATGGAACAAGTATTCTACGAGCACACAACCCGACATACATTCGCGTCCTCCTGCTACGACATTATACTTAAGCCTGCCGTCAAGCTGCAGAACTGTCTGCCCGTTGAGATCGTGGTCTCCCAACTTGGCTTGAAGAGAACTCAAGTGTTCCGTCCTGGAGAGATGTTCCATTTGTCTCATTTGTCGCCGAATAGAGCGTCTATTGTTATTATGGTGAGTACTATCTACTATAGAATCTATATCCAGCAGTGGGTGAGCCCGATGATTGTTAGAGCTGATTTCAGAATTTGTAAGTAATGGACGGTTCAAGTGAAAATAATATGCGGAACCAGAAGATAACCTATTCATTCCTACTGTTTCAGATCCAAAACTATCTCGACAAATGTTGGGTATGTACAAAGAATCTTCCAGATAGCGATACAGAGCTGTCAGTATGGTCGTTCGAATCTCACGACAGTCCGTCAGTAATGACATTAGATTTGGGTATGCACAGCGTGGATTTGGAGGGCACGCAAGTCTTGTCACTGTATTGCCCCTTCTGGATGCTCAACAAAACAGGCTTCACTTTATGTTATAGGGTGAGTACAACATTTTCTCTTTGTGTGTTGTACAATCGAGAGTTTCGTGGGTGCGATGGTTTTGGCGTCAAAATTAATTGGGTTCGTGTTTCTATGTGAGTGAAAATTCAAAATTTATTAATGACATTCATCGCTGCAGCACCCTTTGTCGTTAAATTGGCATGTTAAGAGTGAGCTCTACTCACTACAACTAAAATTAAATTAATATTAAACTTTAGACAAGATATATAACGTGATAGGTACTCACTGGTAATATTAAGTATTGAAACCTCAGTAAAATCATTTAACCACTTTCGTATCGTCTATTTTTCATGACTGTGTTCTTTCGAAGCTATTAAGTATGAGTGGTACAGTAAGTAGAATGCTATTAGGCTATCCTATACTAACTGTCTAGCCATTAAATAAGTATTGGCGTATATGACGTTGACTTGATTTGTACTTTTTGGAGTAGACCTCTATATCACATTGGCCATAAATACATTACGTGGTTACAGAAATCAAAGAAACCAGAAAAAGACTCCAGCACTCCCAACAAGGTATCTTTGAGATGATCTAAATCGTGAATATTTTTTAATAGATTTTTTTTCCTTTCATTATTTTTATTTTATTCCTCGATTCGGTCGGTTTTTGCTTCCTATGTCTAACAAGCCTCATCTCAAAGCGATAGTTTAAGGATTTTTTGATTTCGATATTTATGATTATTGCCATGTAACCATTATTTTTATTATAGCATGCATTTAGCAGTGGGGTCATAGCCTAATCCAAAAGTAAAGTTGTGTACTACTTGACACAGTATTTGTGGAGTGATGAGTTAGACAAGTTGATATGTGTTTTAGTTATCCTAGTTATAGCAAATATTGTATGGGTTGTCCATTTTATATAAATTACAGATTAAACATTCACGTTGCAGTAAATTTCTTAGACGCCATACGTCTTGTTTGCCGGTAAGTGCAAACATTATTAAAGCACTATAAAGTTATTAATTTATTTTGCTATTAGATCAAGCACTCTGAAGTGGATTTTGGTATTAATTATAATAGGTTTTAGGGTTGTCACTATCGGGTACGAAAACAACGAAAATGTTAAAAAAGGCTTATGGAGGTTCGTGTGTTTTGTGTTGGGTTGTTTACAAATTGTTTTAATGAAAAAATGCACACATAATAGCTTTCATTTTGTGGATTACCATGACCCTACTGAGTTTTTATTTGCTTTTTAGCAGCATGTATTTTTATAAGTATTATTATGTATACGTTAGTGGTCGATTTGTAGCATCTTTGATACTTCCTATGCATGGTCACACATTAACCAAGTTTCATATAAAATCATCGAACTTGTTAATATTATTTTTTATTTAGCTTTGTGGTAACGGTAAGCTAGCTTTGTGGTACAGGTTAATGCAAAATGACGCTCTGCAGCACTGGACATGACAAATTGAACTTAAAAATATTGAAATACTATTTTATTATTTTAGAATGTGGATGAAACTGGTAACGTGATATTCCATCCTAAAGAATATAAGGAGCCGATACTGTTCTCGTTCCGTGCGAAGAATTTCTTCGGCAAGAAGAAGGCTGCTATTCGCGTTGAGTTTGGTGAATGGTCCGATAAGTTCTCGCTTGATGTTCCTGGAAGTTCCGGGGTTGTATTGTGCAAACACGAGGGTAGGACGTATCAGGTAATTAATTTCTCATTGCATCATCATTTTGTTTGTGTCGGTCTTATAAAGACCTAAAGGTTAGTTAAGTTGTCCTTTCATCAAATTTCTTATTTTTAGGTGGCAGTTACGAATCAACTTACATTCAACAGTTTAACTAAAATGGTGATATTCACGCCATATTTCTTGATCATCAATGAAGCGCCTTTTGACATTCAATATCAGGAGCTACATAGATCTGGTGACCCTTGGATAACGGTAAGCTACACTTATCTTCGTTTACTATATTATACCTATGGCAATTCTTTATTAATTTTGCGTATTTGCAATTTCTCTTAGCTTTAGTCTGTCTCGTTCGTCATTTAATGTAATTTCAGTATTTTCCGGTTTTGAACAAAGTTCCAAACACCCAGTAAAGTTGTTTCATGCAAAAAACGAACTTACCACACTTGACATATCAACCAGTTGTCTAGTTAAAGTTCTGTAGTACTGACCCGATTTCTAATTTATTCTAGTAAAACTTAATATTTTGTATTGTTTCAGGTGGCACAAAATTCAAGCGCCCCATTGTGGCCGGTTATTGAAAAAGAAGATAAGTTATTATTATTGCGCGTCGCTTCTTCCCCAGTTTACGCTGCACCATTCTTATACACCGAACAACATTCAGTCTGCTTGAAGCTGGACAATGAGGTAACATATTTATACTTTATATTTAACTACTAGATTTGGCATAATCGGATTCAGATTTAATCTGCGGAAGACAAACGTTGCTGAGCGAACTTTTAAATTAAAGATAAGGATATAAGATTTTTAATTGAAACACATAGTTAACTTTTACCCTAAAAATCTGCATACTACAGAAATAGCTGTTTGTTATAGAAAGTAGTTGATTTCCGAGAAAATATGAAAATAGTATAATCTGTTTAATGTTTTAGTTTGGCGGTCTACACGTGGAAGTACAACTAAGTGAAGGTGGTACTTACATCACAGTGCGACAATACCGCGACGGCCACGCGCCTGCATTACTCGTCAACTACACACCACATAATATCACAGTATATGAAAAGGAGAACGTTAATGTTAAGTAAGTAGATGTGACAAAACCCCATATATCAGACAAAGAATCACTATACATTTCTGTCTAAAGATTAGGTAGGATCATTACCCTACATCATTATTACAAGGAAACTTTAACCTTTATGTTTTAATTGCCTCTATGTTATGTCATGTATGTATACAAATTGCAAGTAATTTTCAGGGAACTAAAATCAATGCATAAAATGTTGTATACATGGGATAACCCAGCAGGACCGCGCGTCCTAATATTCGAAAGTCACAAGAAGAGAGAGATCGAAAACGACTTGAGGAAAGATGGTATTGGAGAATTCATGTAAGTATGATTATAATACTTAATTATACTAAGACCAAAATAAGCGTTAATATTTGTAAGTAAACTAAGTATTCACTTTCAACATATTTGAAACAAACTGTATAAGAACTAAATCTAAAAGTAGCCGTTCTGAATAACACTTCTGTGCTTCTTATCTTTTACGCAATGGCTCCGAACCTTCACCAAATTAAGCTTACCACTTGTTAGTAGGTGAGTGGAAGTGTGACCACACGCGGCGTAATTGATGAGACATGGTTCTGTCCTTTTAAGTGTGTGTTCTGTTCACAACCATTTCCATTTTGGTAAAAAAATAAAGCGTTTAATACTACGACATCTTAATAATGCTGATCTTTTTATTGATAGGATCGACGAGCACACGAAGGTACATTGGGTATCGTTCCTGGACGGATTGCAGCGAGTGATACTATTCACAGACGACCCGATGCTAGCGAGCGGTGCATATACTGTTGGGGAAGCAGAAACAGTGGACACTGAACTAGTGTTGTCGATGCAAGGCATTGGACTGTCGCTGGTCAACGACCCAGAGCAACTCGAAATTGTTTACATCAGTATATCCAAGTATGTAATGGTTTTATCTCGCAACATTTTCTAATGCCGTTTTTGTGTTACTTTAATTAATAAAACTAATTTCACTTTTAGCTCTGGTATAATATGGGAACAGTGCAAATTAGGTGCACGCCGCTACAAAAAGATTGAAGGAACAAAAGTATTACAACTGGAAGAATGCTATCAGAGATATTTATCTGAAAAGATAGTCAGTGATGAGCCGATCCCTCCTCGAGTCTTTATAGATGAGAAAATTGAGGTATACTAAACTGTACTAAATAATTTTTTTAATTATTTCTTTGTGTGACAAAAGAAATGTTGGTTTATTAACGAGTCACGTACAACTTTGTGACTATATTTTTTTGTACCAGTCACAAACAAAGTTGTTATGCGCAAAAGGTTTAGTGAAATTAATTTCATATTTATTAAAATCGCTAACAATACACTAAGTTTACAAGCTGTATGGAATCGGATATTGATTAGCATATCGGTGCAGGTGGACTTTGAAGAGATGCGGCAGTTGAAGCCGTCAGTTCGCATACTGCGACGTACGCTGCAGCCGGGCCTGTGGGCCTCGTACGGCCTCACGGCGCACTCGCGGCGCTTGCACGCGCGACTGCATCGACTTCAAATCGACCAACAGCTCCCCCTACCGACATTCCCCGTCGTACTCGCACCCGTACCACCGCCCCGATCTATCACCAACGAGGATCCTAGTGGTCAGTATCTATTCCTTCAATTTATATTTTATTTCTATCTATATATGTAGTTCTTTTTGGTCTGTAGGTTTCCTAGTAGTGGTCGAGGTAGACATGTAGTTCTTGGAAAGAGATAAGTAGATAGAGGTCAAACAAATTGTGATATTTGTTAAATGTTGTGAATTTATTACTAAAGAGAAAGAAACATATTTATAAAGAGGATGCCTATAGGCCAGCAGTGGACTGGCTGTGGATTTTGAAGTTTATTAGTTAAATTCCATTTTCAAGTTCTTATGAAACTATCTGAAGATATCGATATTAAAAACAAAATAACTTATTTCCTCTTAGTTGATTTTAGAAATATTCTGTACTTCGAGAGGACTCGGAATTTCCCATACACCCAAGAATGACAAACATTCATTATTACTTATGTCATATCACCCTTCATAAGATGTGAAGGGTTGATATTTTGACTATAAACGAAGTCGTGTTTCTAGCATTTTGACCTCTTTTCCTAAATTGTGTTTTATTTTTTTGCATGACTGGGGTTTGGTATGCACGTAGCCCAAGGTATGCAGCAAATGCTCGAGATCGCTAGCAAATAATTAATACCTAACGCTGTGCTTGCTTAATAATACTCTTTATATTATATACATAGTACATAGATTAAAACTGTATTATATTTTAGGTATGAAGCCGTTCATTGAAGTGTCGATAGTGGAACGATTGATGGAACATAGCAAAGTTCGGCAATACAAGTACTATAAGGTGTTGATACAAGAGTTCCATGTTAAAGTTGACATGGGGCTCATCAATGCTCTCATGGGCATGTTCCCGCAACGATTGCTGAATGAACAGGAAGCGGTAAGACTTTTAATACACTATCTGTAGTTGAGCTAACTTCTTATAACGCGAAAATGTATTAATGAATGAGACAAAAAAGGTATTTGGAGTTTGGATGTCACTGTCTAAAAATCGGGTTGAATGTAAAATTATAATTTTCTTCTAGCTGGACGCATTCCTACTCGACTTGGAGAAGGCAGGACAACCGTTGGAAGCGTTAGCAGCAATAGGTGTAGCATCAGATCTCAAGAATTTCTACGACAATTTACATTTGTCACCGCTCAAGGTAAATAAAATTTATAGCATAACATATTCAAAGTATATTTTTTCAAAAAAATATTTGAATTGTAACCTTGTTTCTTTATATTTTAGGTTCATGTTTCGTTCTCTCTCGGTGGAGCTACTCAACTGCCATCGTTCGTTGGCACAGTTCTCCAGAGTATTGGCGTTACGTTGACAGATATGAATGATGTAGTTTTCAAGTAAGAACATAAATTTGTTTAAATTAATTGAAAATTTTGTCTTGTCTCAATATAAAAAATTAAATATTTGAATACTTTTAAAGCTATGATCAGTATTTTCAGCTTTTATTCGCATAAACCAAGATTAAATCATTTTTACTAATTCAATTTCAATTTCCACCAGACTGTCTTACTACGAAAGGAACTATGAGTTCTTATCTCAGAAAGAAATGATTAGTCAAGTCCAAAGCCATTACACAGGGCAGGCACTAAAGCAACTGTATGTACTTGTACTTGGGCTCGATGTAATAGGCAACCCGTACGGACTCGTCGTCGGCTTGAAGAAGGGTGTCGAAGATCTGTTCTATGAGCCATTCCAGGTCAGTAACAACGTAATCTCAAATTCAATGTTACAAAGATATATGAAAGCAATAAAAAATATTACTTAACAAATTGAAATACTCATATAATAATATCACTACATACAAACCATAAGTAAAAGTAATGTAGAACCATTGGACTCCATACAAAAATACGTAACATATTTTTCCCTATCTAATTGTGTACGAAAGGAAAGATATTAAATTTTACAGTTTGTTTCTTATATTTTCAGTCGTCTACCTTATTTCCCAGCTTTGAAACGTTATGATAATAATTTATTTGCAAAGGTATTTGTTGTAGGGTGCTATCCAAGGTCCAGGAGAGTTTGCGGAAGGTTTGTTCCTCGGCGTGAGGTCACTTGTGGGTCACACGGTGGGCGGCGCGGCCGGTGCCGTGTCCAGGATCACGGGCGCTATGGGCCATGGACTTGCTGCCTTGTCTCTCGATAAGGTACTGTACTGAAATAAAATAACAAACTCAATAAATAAACGCCCTTTCAATCAGGTTATGTTAAATATGTAAAAACGTAGTAAAAATCGGTTTTTATAATGAACTTTCAAATGGCGAGTTTTACTTCACATTGTCTGGATAGCTACTATCTACGTATCCGCTTAAGTAATTTGCATGTAATCTCTGCCACATTTTATCACCACACAGTAACTGTTTTGAAACGAATACATAAATTGTACAGGACTACCAGCGCCGTCGTCGTGACAATATCAATAAGCCACCTGCGAATCTTCAAGAAGGTCTTGCAAGGAGTGGTAAAGGTCTCGTAATGGTACGTATATCTTTAGGATCAACATTTTTTTATACTATTGATCTTTTCTAGCCATTTAAAATTTTTGTAAAGTTCATTTTGGTGAGGCACCGTAAGTGTGATCTATAAGCCACAGGTTCTATATTATACAACAACTAAACAGGGCGTGGTAGACGGCGTGACAGGGGTGTTCACGAAGCCCATAGAGGGCGCTCGTGAGCAGGGAGTGGAAGGGTTCTTCCGGGGGCTCGGCCGGGGCGCCGTGGGGCTCGTGGCGCGCCCCACTGCTGGCGTCGTGGACTTCGCGTCCGGCTCACTTGATGCCGTTAAGAGGTGACGTCATACGCATGCTGCTACTGCATGCTTGGCCTGCATCGCATGATGCGCTATCTGTTGCTTTCTGTTCTGCTGCTCTTGTGTTGCAACGAAACTACACTGTTGATTTTGCATCGCACTTCTTATTATGACTAGCTATCTTCGGTTGGCTACTTCTAGGATGTTTGTGGACCCATGTTCAAATCTCTCGTCAATGTAATAAACGTACCTAGGCTTTCATTGCGCTATGACTGTATGTTAACTGAATGTCAGGGTGTAGTGGACGGAGTCCGCGGCGTGTTGATACGTCCGATACAAGGGGCCCACGAGGGCGGTGCGGGGGGGTTCGTGAAGGGGCTCGGCCGCGGCGCGGTGGGCCTCGTAGTGCGCCCTGTCGGCGGCGTCGTCGACTTCACCTCCGGACTACTCACATCTGTTAAGAGGTGGTGAGGTTACCGGAGCTAGATATTTCGTAGTCTTTTGTCATGTAGATATTACAGGGTGTGTTGGTAATATTTGATAGGCTTTCAAACACTATCGTAGTCAAAATATCAGCGTAGATATACGTATATTAAGTCGCGTATTATGATAGTTTCTAAAATAGTACAGTACTGTTTAGATTTTGAAGTCAAAATGTAGCGACAATAGGATTAGTCTAATATGTGATAATATGGAATCAGTATTTACACTGACCCACATAATTAATCCCGGTATTAGGCTATATTATGTTGCTATCACATAAAGATTAGTTTAGATTTTTCCGAAAATAGCCCAAGTGCGGATAGACGGTATATTTCATAAACATTTATCGATTTATTTCCATTGTATTTAAAAGGTGTTGTAGCTAAACTGACATTATCTTGATTGACGCTAATACTTTGTATGTAATATTGGCGCTTTTTCTGCTTTTAGCGTAACGTGCTTGTGTGTATTGTATTATTTTATCTAACAAGAGGTTATGACTAACAAAATAATGTTTCTAATCCCACCGATCAATGTTATCAATCCAGAATTTAACGACATCCGTTTCAAAAACGAATAATTCTGTATTCTTATTGTTTTCTATAGTCCGTAAAAAGAGAAGATACAGAAATACAAATTACTTAAAAAAAATCACGATTGCATAACCAGCTTCTTACATATACGTAATATATTACTTCCAGTCTATAACGACTTACGAAAACAGATTGCTTATATATTAATCTGAATCTATCAATATAGAGCGGCGGATTTGTCTGAAGAGGTAACGAAACGACGCCCCGCGCGATACATGGCACCTGACTCAGGTGTCAGGCCGTACTCCAGGTTGCACGCAGAAGGATACAAGATGCTTTTTGAATTGGAAAAGGTAATATTAATTGAAATCATGCCCTACAGTAACTTCTGATATTAATAAACTTGTAATATAAACTTATGTACGAAAGGTTTGGTTCGATTTTTTGACAGGAACTCGACTAAATACTGCCAAAAATCAATCCCAACCATCAATCGAATGAGATTGAGATCGGTTGTTAATGATGTGAACAAGTAATACTTCCCATTATTAAATACATATTATGTACTTCGCGCAACTTCTTTAAAACTAATAATGTCCTACTATCCTATTATTTTAAAGTGAGGTATCATTTTTTAACATGAAAACACAACGATATTCATGAATAGACGTATAATTTAAGAATTCGGCTTTACAGTACAAAAGCACAAAACAGCTCCAACCTAGAGAGGTAAAAAAGGCGTGCGTTAAAATTGGCGTAGGGCTAGTGTTGCCCGTTCTCGCTAAGTAGGTACCTCACTTAAAAAAAAAGACGAAGAAATGAAGTTGTCAAAATAATCTACAGTTTAAACTTTGTTTGATATTCGCGGACATATTAAGAATGAGTTTTTTCCACAATAGGGCAAATACGTCAGCACTGATAGATACGAAGCTCACGTGTGGGTGATCCCCGGCAAGGAAGTTGTCATGTGCACCGACAAACGAATGCTATACATCGAAAAGAATAATGTGTTTGGAGGGTGGCAGGTAAGAAATTCGACATATTATTACTGGTTATTATTATGACTTGTGACTCATTTAAACTACTACGGTCGTTTGGTTACCATCGGATAAACAAACTATGCCTGGTCCCATCATCATACCAAGATATTCAGAACATTTATTTTACGGAGGCAACAAAGATTAGTAATATATTAAACATAGAGCGCGTTCCCATTGAATGCGGTAATTGTGAGCAATATTTCATGACGCACCATTTGAACATTACAAAGTTTCTACACCCCAACATTTAATATCTCGTGAAGTTATTGCAATCGATGGCCAATTACATTGCTGCTTATAAATTAGCTGTTATACATAAATTTTTTTAAGGTTCGAGTGTCTCTCTACTTGCCGCATAATTAATGACATTCAGTATTTTTAATCGGATTGTACATTAGTCAATGTGTTAGCGTCTAAGTCTACACAATGTCGAGGTGCTTTTTAAGTAGTGCCGACAAAAATACGTCATCTCTTTTCTCTTTGATTAAAATTGTTTCTCGGAAACCGAAAGGTCATGTATAATTTATAGGAAACTGAAGCCCCTCGTTCCGCAGGTCGTTCCTATTTCCTATAACTAGTAAATATTTCATGAATAACTCTGTTACTCTCCTATAAGGGCCACAGCTTATAGCACGCGAATGTTTCTGATTTATCTTAAATAATGCCCCTAGTGATGTTTGAATTTTGTATACAGATAAATAATATTGTTTTTTTGCTATTTATAAATATATGCACTTTCGTACAGATTGTGTGGTCGTACCTGTGGACGGAGCTCCCCGAAGTGCCAACAGCCGTGAACAAGGGCGTGTACATCCCGACGGCGAAGAAGAAGGTGCTCGGAATGTTCCCGACGTCGGGCTCCGGCAAGGTGATATTCCTCTACGACGACCAACAGAAGAAGTACTTGCTCGCGCAGTGCCAGCGTCTCATGCAATCACGTTGACATGAGGCCGTAGAAAGAATCTCGCCTACCGAGTGGTTGGCACAGTTCTTTCTACTTATATTTGATTCTCGCACCGCATTGCTTACTTTCGCCTATCACTTTAACATGCACCACCTCGGCCCGAAAGGCTTCCGCTAAACTCTTCCTCTCCCCAGCGAGCAGTGCTTCATATGGACTATGTATTATGTTTAGTGTATCGATGTTTTGAGAACCGTGTGCTTGCTATATTTTTATAATACCTTTTACGTGTTGATGTCAATGCAATTGAGTATGTTGAGTACAATTGTGGAATTCAATATCATGGTAATGACATTTTTGTATGTAGTTAGTTTTGATTGTTTTTTTACATATTTTTACCAGTTAGATGTACTACAATGTGTAATATGAGAGAGACATTGTAATTACTTTGGAATATCGTTGAACAGAAATGTTTATAAACTTTGTGACAACAAAAACCCAGATATTGGTGATTATGTGCCTACTTAGAGAACTGCCTTTTTGTACAAATCATTTGTACGAGTTTCAATACGAGCTGCATTGCATTAAAATAACCTTTTCCCTTTTTTTGTCTTTAAATATTTTTAACTATTTTCAATTGTATTTAAATATATTACTATGCATTTACCTATTTAAGATTAAATATTCTGTAAGTTGTTACAAGATTTCAGTCTTCCCTCATGTACCTAATTATTTAGATTTGTATTGTTGAGTTTATTATGCCGTTGATATAACAATATTTAAAGTTTATGTAGAAAATTAACATGTAATAAAAAACTCGAATCATTAACATCTTTTTGAAATACTCAGTGCGTTAACATTTCGATCATAGACTTGAAATGTTGAGGTTCAATTGGTTACGTTATTGATATACTTTTATAGACTATGTTATGTTATTTGCAATATGTTGTTATTGTAAGTTTAATATTACGGAAGCAAAATCAGTGAAGTAAGTGTATTTATTCTGTATATGTTTTTTTAATCGAAGCCTGATAGTACAAACATTCGGAGAGTTTTTATACATTGCAATGTTTGTGAAATAATGGCAGAGCTGAGAGCCAGATTGGCTTCAACTGCTGAGGCTTTCCATACCAGTGCCTTAAGATCGATGTTTAGAAAGCTGATAAGTTTTCTGCTCTACAACTCTTTATTGGTTGCTTTAAGTTTTTAGTTACACTGGAAATAGTGTTTATTTCAAAACTAAGTTATGTTAGGTTGAGTGCACAATTTATATTTGCTTCGCCATTGTGCGTTAGCCTCATGGATGGCTTCGAGATGTAAAATTTTCTTAATTTTTTTTATTGTTTTTTTTTGTTGGAGCGTTTATGCGTAATAGGTACGTTTAATTAGATCTAAAGCCAACTTTTTATTATTGCCTGTTGCACAATTTACTTATTTCGATTTCGTTTTGTCTTGTTCAAGCTTGTGTAAGAACATTTTCAATATAAATAATATACAATAATGTGTTTGTTTTATTTTTATTTTATTCATATTTCACATCACCCTTAAACTATCTTAAAACATGAAAGACGAAATCAAAAAGGCGTAATTGCACTGCGAATAACTCTTAATCCTGTCGTTAATAGATTCAGAAAGCAACGTTGCAAGTACCAGTAGGTAAAAATGAAACATTCTGTTGATCTATAGCCTAAAATGACAAATTCATCAATGTCTGAAGTGATATTACAAATGTACGAGCAATATTTGCGTCATAAATCACAACCGCGACATTTTTTGGGACAAACTGGAAGGACGTTGAATGAAAACGTACGAAATATATTGGCACAGATAATGTGAGATACGCAATGATAGAGGGTTATGAAAAAATCGTCATTTAACTATGACCTAGATAATAATAGAGCAAGAGCCCGTGTTAGCCAGACCTTCGGATTTTTATAAAAGCTAAGAGTTCTTCTGTGTATGTCCCCAATACAGGTAAGAAAGGTCCCCACCCATGAAACCTGGGTAGTGGTGGCTTTGGCAGGTAACAGGTAGCAAAGGTGTATAAAATTCCACCTCAAATTTATTAATTTATAAAACTCAATTTTTTTATATTTTATTCGTGATAATATTAAAACTCGCGTTGCTCATTGCCAGACACTTAATATAGTCCAAGAGCCCGTGAGAGCCAGACCTTCGGATTTTTATAAAAGCTAAGAGTTCTTCTGTGTATGTCCCCAATACAGGTAAGAAAGGTCCCCACCCATGAAACCTGGGTAGTGGTGGCTTTGGCAGGTAACAGGTAGCAAAGGTGTATAAAATTCCACCTCAAATTTATTAATTTATAAAACTCAATTTTTTTATATTTTATTCGTGATAATATTAAAACTCGCGTTGCTCATTGCCAGACACTTAATATAGTCCAAGAGCCCGTGAGAGCCAGACCTTCGGATTTTTATAAAAGCTAAGAGTTCTTCTGTGTATGTCCCCAATACAGGTAAGAAAGGTCCCCACCCATGAAACCTGGGTAGTGGTGGCTTTGGCAGGTAACAGGTAGCAAAGGTGTATAAAATTCCACCTCAAATTTATTAATTTATAAAACTCAATTTTTTTATATTTTATTCGTGATAATATTAAAACTCGCGTTGCTCATTGCCAGACACTTAATATGGTTACAACCCTCTGCCGGACACCCCTGAACTATTATAATTTGTAACTATACTTACGTTATATTATAAAAGCTAAATTTTATATATGTATTTTGGACAACTATTAAATATTGTTTCCTTAATAGCCAGACAATTTCGAGGGTTACATCGTCCAGCCAGACGTATTAAATGTGTACAATAGTTATGAGTGAGAGGAGTATATGCAGCAACGGGTGCGAGTGAGATAGAGCGTGCAGTCTATTGCTGCGACTTTTACTGCGCATCAGCTGCTCATTGTGTATTATGTAGTGCGCGGTTATCCTCATAGTAAACATACATCAAACGTATATTAAACGTTGTATTATTTTTCTGTGTAATTTATAAAATAAATGTGATCTAATAATTGTAATAAAAAGTTATCATGAGTGAAGAAGAAGTAAAAGTAGTTTGCTTTGTCTGTAAAAAAAGTGGCGAAGATCTAATAATATTTACCGAGGAGACTTAAACATTATAATCCGAACTATTGATACTGATGTTGCTGCTATAATGCTGGGTCATATGCACCGTCTAAATGATGAGTCGCAAGTTTGGATGCTTACAGGAACTGGAAATAATTTGAGGTATGTGAACCTAACTAAGATATACGAAAAATTGGGAGAATCAATTTGTAGAAGCTTACCTGGATTACATGCAATTACAGGATGTGATTACAATCCTTCATTTTTTAGAAAAGCGAAATTGAAAGATATTAAAAAAATACGTAGAATTTCAGCAAGCCTTCATGAAGTTTGGTGACAGCAAAATCATCGAAGATAATATTGAACAACAAGACCTTTATAATGTTATTCCAAGTTTTATATGCTATTTATACAATGTTGAGAATATAAATGATGTTGATGCTGCTAGACTACAAATTTTTATCGATTCTTATACAGTGTATGATGTGAACGAAGCTTTTAATAGAAAAAAATTGCGAAATTTCGACGCAAGTAGTTTACCACCTTGTAAAAGTGAGCTATTACAGCAATTTTTGCGAGCAAATTATATATATGTTGTATCTGGAATAATACTCATTTAAAAAACCCTACAACATATGAGCCAGTAAATAATGGTTGGATTCGGGAAAATGATGAATACTATTTTAAATGGTTTGAAGGAGATCAACTACCAAATTATGTCAGTGAATCTCTAAAAACTGTATCAGGCATATAATAATTATGATAAATTATTTTACATTAAGAAGCAGGCGAAGAAGACGATGTTGATAACGATGAATTTAGGGAGTGGAGTAGCAGTGACGACGAAAATGAAAATGTCAACATCAACGATGACAATGAAGAAGATTTTTGAATATTTAATTTAAATGAATTTATTTTTCTGTAAATTTCTAACTCACAAAGAAATTATTCTTTCGTACAATTAACAAATAAATTATTATGGCCTTGAAATTTCAGTTGAATTGAATATAATAAACTTTATAAAATTAAAAAATAACATCAATTGAGTTACTAGATTTTTGATATAATTAATATTTTTTTATTAAATTTTTCGGAATATTACTTTAAAAATTTATTTTTCAGACTGTATTAATTTTATTCAATGAAATTTCTCCAAAAAATTATAAAAAATGTTACTGAAAACTTCGGAATTAAAAACAGTAGATGCGCAGTAAAAAATCGCAATAGACTGCACGCTCTATCTCACTCGCACCTGTTGCTGCATATACTCCTCTCACTCATAACTATTGTACACATTTAATACGTCTGGCTGGACGATGTAACCCTCGAAATTGTCTGGCTATTAAGGAAACAATATTTAATAGTTGTCCAAAAAACATATATAAAATTTAGCTTTTATAATATAACGTAAGTATAGTTACAAATTATAATAGTTCAGGGGTGTCTGGCAGAGGGTTGTAACCATATTAAGTGTCTGGCAATGAGCAGCGAGTTTTAATATTATCACGAATAAAATATAAAAAAATTGAGTTTTATAAATTAATAAATTTGAGGTGGAATTTTATACACCTTTGCTACCTGTTACCTGCCAAAGCCACCACTACCCAGGTTTCATGGGTGGGGACCTTTCTTACCTGTATTGGGGACATACACAGAAGAACTCTTAGCTTTTATAAAAATCCGAAGGTCTGGCTCTCACGGGCTCTTGGACTATAAGTTAGGAGGTCGGAAAATCCTTTGAGATTTTTTACGAAGATTTTTGGTCAAGGTCACACGTACCCTTGTGCTTCATTTGCAAATAATATAATTATGTCTTTAGTGATTGTTAATAATTTTCAATCACATTTGTGAATATTTTGTTACTACATATTTCCCTGTCTCGTACCTGAATTGTAGCTAACCTATTATTATAATCTAAAAACATGTTTTTCATCCATCAGTTATTAAATTACCAATAGTTACTTCAGAGGTGTAACTGACACGTTAATACAATGTAATATCAATGTGTGAACAAACTAATTAAGTATTTAACGTCATTAGTCTCAATTAATAATTAATTAATAATAAGATAATTATGACCTTCGAAATAATCAGAAGTTACATACAGCCTGTCTATTAACTTGTGTAACATGTAAGAGCAAAACTAGTTGAACAAACATCGATATCTAGTTACCCTAGTAGACAGATGTGCGAGAACGTAATGAATACCTACCTATATATTATGCAGAATTTGCTCATATGTTGGAAATTTGGGATTGGCTATCTTACCTCACCTACTTTTGATACCGATTATTTTTAGAAATATATATAATCTGGTCGATTTATACCTGTCCAACTAAAGTTACCAGCTTAGGACTTGGGTTAGAAAGGTGACGTCGATCTTAGGGACACCGCGAGGCGCGGGCGGGATGCCGGTCAAGTTGAACGTGCCCAGCAGGTTGTTGTCCTGGGTCATCGCTCGCTCGCCCTCGTACACTTGGATCGTGGCCGCTGCCCGGCTGGTTGTCCGATTACGTGGTGAACGTCTGTGACTGCTTGCACGGGATCTTACAGTTGCGCTCGATGATTTTTGTCATCAAGCCGCCGGCGGTTTCGATGCCGAGGGACAGAGGGGCCATGTCCAACAGCAACACGTCCTGAATCTTCGAGTCTTTATTTTTTCAAGGTTTTAAGGAATAATTCTGCAAACGAGTTGACGGATTACCTGATGATCAATAGTCTGAAGCAATCGGCGCCGCTCATGGACACCCGCAACACTAAAGGAGAAACGAGTGCGTTGCCAGCTTTTTGGGGATAAGGGTTGCGGATATAAGGATTGGGAAGGGGTAGGAGAGGGAGGGATTGGGCCTCCGGTAACCTCACTCACACGGCGAAACACAACGCTGTGATTGTTTCACACCGGTTTTCTGTGTGGCCGTGGTGTCACTTCGGTCGAGTTGACCCATTTGTGCCGAAGATTTTTTTATGACTCACTTGGGTAGTACACAACCCCGTGACTACTAAATGACTGAACGATATACAGTGTCATTGGTAGACGTGGGCCTAGTTATAAAATTAACACAAAACGTGTCGAGGTAGGAATCTACAACGGAGGAGCACAATAGTCATAGAGCCCTCACATTGTTATACAGACTTATTATTTAGAGGTTCGTATCTGTACCTATGTTCTATATTTAGGTGGTGCACTTCTCCGCCTTCCACTTCTTTAAATAAACAGCAAGATGTTATGGGCATGTACCTAACAATCATCAGTCAGCAGCTACGTCGGCAAACATCTACGTAGCTGCCTATATGATTAATGAACCAGTTCAAAACACCGCCGCTAACTCAATTTTATCTCTATGATTAATATGTAAAATTTCATCATAAACTCGATTCAAACGTGTTACAATCAAACGGAGTAATAATAAAGGCCC